CTGGGGTGATGCTGTTCATCCGGTTAAATTACAGAATGAACAGTAAGTAACAATAAGTGTCCGTTTTTAGTTCCATAGTTTGGGCGCTGAACACCGCTGGCCGTTCGGAAGGTAAAATGGCTACTGCCACGTGTTCGGCAACCGAACAAAGGCCACCCAGCGTTCATCAATTAAGCTGCGGTTAACCGCAGCTTCTGGGCGGTCAATTGACGGCACACTCCAGTTCCCAGGTGGTCCCTCGTTCGGTAGTTTGTTCGGTAGATGCAATCTACCGAACACCCTGGCAGAAAGGCACGAATAAACCTTTCAGCGGGGAAAATAACAGGTCTGAACTGCAGGGCCATAGTCTAAAGGGAGCAGGCGAGCAACCAGGCTTCTCCAGTGCATAGTGGCGAGGTTGGTTCCGCCACACTTCTCCCTTTTACCAATCAGACTAACAGGGTATCTGACCTCCTGCAGCCCACCCACAAAACACAATCAGTAATACAGCCCACCCACAATAACTGGTTACTACACCTGGGTAGAGGAGGACTTTGTCCATGTCCAGGTGCCTCACCTTGGCTGTGTGGGTGACTGGTAAGCAGACTGGGTGGGTTGCTGAGTCGGCAGAGACCATCGGTGCCAGCACTACCACGGGAGTAATCTGGTTGGAGCCTGGTTGCTGGAGGGGGAGACCGACTGTCTCTGCTCCCTGCCAGACACACTGCCGCTGGGGAGGAAGGACGGCACCCTCCGCTCCCTGGGACTCACTGAACTGCTGGCAGGGCCGGTGCAAGGATTTTTTCCGCCCTAGGCAAAAGTAAAGTTTGCCGCCCCCCATGTGACATCACAATGCCCCACCCATATGATCTGCCATGTTAACTAACGCCAGTGCTGCAGTGCCGCCGTGTTTACATTAAAAGGCCATGCAGGGACAGGCTATGGACACCAGAACCACTACATTAAGCTCAAGTGGTTCTGGGGACTAGAGATTAGTGCCACGAATAATATACAAGATTGCCTACTTACAATCAGATGAGGATGATGATGGGCTCTAGCTGCAGTCTGGCTCCACTGGTCTGGTGTAGAACAGGCTCTCTGGAGACTATTTGTAACTGTGGTCACAAAAATCAATGTTCTGGGAGAACGGGAAGCAGCTCTATTTTTTTTTTAAAGGCCCTTTACACAGCTCAAGGTCTGGGTCCCAGGGTCCACCTTCATGTTCCACCAATGAGTTTGTTCACAGGGGGTGGAGTAGGGGGATGTCCTGATATGTGTGTAAGGAATGCATTGTGTGAATCTCTGTTTGTATGTGTAAGGGCTGCAAGGTGTGTTTCTGTGTATGTACGGGATGCAGTGCATGCGTCTGTAAGGGGTGCATTGAGTGTGTGTAAGAGGTGCATTGAGTGTGTGTAAGGAATGCATTGTGTGTTTCTGTGTGTGTAAGGGATGCATTGTGTGTAAGGGTTGCATTGCTTGTGTGTGTGTCTGTGTGTGTAATGCATTGTGTGTTTTTCTGTGTGCAAGGGTGCATTGTCTTTGTGTGTAAGGGGTGCATTGTGTGTGTGTGTGATGGATGTCAATCTCTTCTCCCCCCTCCCTTGTCCCTCTCTTCTTCCCCCCTCCCTTGTCACTCTCTTCTCCCCTGCTTGTCCCTCTCTTCTCCCCCCTCCCTTGTCACTCTCTTCTCCCCCTTCTCTTCTCCCCTCCCCACTCTCATTCCCCCTCCCTCCCTCGTCAATTCCCCTCCCTGTGAATTTCTTCCCACCCACCCTGTGAATTTCTTTCCCCTCCCTTTCAATTAATTCCCTCCCTTTCAATGTATTCGTCCCTGTCAATTTATTCCCCCCCTGTGACAGATCAATCTGTATAGACTGAGATTGCTGGATTCGTCTGTTTTGCCTTTACACGAAATTACCCGTTCTTATGCCCCTGTTCCGTGAATTGACTTTTCCGCCGAACAAAACTACCGAACGGACCGCCACCCAGAAGAGAAGTGTGCTGCTGGTTAACCTATTGATCCCAATTAGAACGTTACGGTTAACCACAGACACTTCTCAATTAAAACCGAATACAGGGTGGTCGTCGTTCGTATGTCGACCATGAGGCGGCGGCCATTTTAAACCATGCGAAAGACCAGCAGTGTTCGGCATTGATTTCATGGAACTGAAAACGGACACTTTTTCAGCCGAACACCGCTGAAGCCGCCGACCTCCCTTCTCAATCGACAGAAGTGTGCAAACACCGGCCATTCGGGAGGTTTAAATGCACGAATGGACTTACCCCAGATAGCCTTCCCATGGAGTCAATCGCATAACGAAAGACTGTAATAGACTTTGACTCCATGGCGATTGAACTATGCGTATTGGATCTGAGCGCTATTCGCCAATAATATGCACTCAGATCCAGGCTATCTGGGGATATGTGATACGAATGGGTAACATTCGACAAATGTAAAGTTATATATTCTTATGTGTTTTTCTGTGTTGAATTTAAAATGGCAATTTGCCTCTGTCCTGGAGATAATTGAATTACTTCTCAATTATCTCCAGGGCAGAGGGGAGGAAATACTAATGCATGCTGGGAATATTTTTTGTCTGTGGGTCCTAACCTGCCATATGTCTGTCTATTGTTACAGTCTCCCATTTGGTCCCCTAGGGGAGTGTCCACCAAGTGGGAGACCTGCATAAATACGGGCAGGTAGCCCACAGTAAAGCCAGTTCTTGTTTTACCCTTGTTACGGTACCTCCAGTAATAAATGCACAAACCGCCGTTTAGTGAATGCTCCCCGTTCGCAATAATGTGGTCTGGTAGCGTATGCAGTATAACCATGCGAACAACCAGCCAGGGAACACTCCAAACTCCCGAACGGTACCTGTACGGCTCCTTCCCTTCATGAGCTCCAAATGCACGAATCGCCAATAGCAGCCGAACGGCAATAGTTTCCAAGCGGCAAATAATCCCAATAAGCAGTCTCTAGTCCTTTTGCACCTTCAGCTCCCTGTAACACACACTGCCTCTGGGGAGGAAGGACAACACCTTCAGCTCCCTGCAACACACACTGCCGCTGGGGAGGAAGGATGACACGCTTCTCTCTCTGTAACTTGCTCGGCCAGTGGGGTCTCTCCCAACCTGCCAACTCACGTGTCCGCCCTGCTCCGACCTGCAGGTACTCTTCTACATGTCTCCTCACGAGCTGCACGTATTTCTCCGGGGGGTTGGGTCCAAGGAAAGCCAGCAGCGTGGTAAACTCTCTGTCATACTGCTCCTGAGTGTAGTTGGGCGCTGCAACAGATCACCTGGCACCCCGCCTGGGTACTTCCGTTGAAGGATGCTCCTAGCGCTTCCTGAGGACTCCAAGCACTGCAGCAGACACCACAACCACCGAACCGGAGAAGTATGAATGCTCTCAAGCATATGAATGCTGTAAGCAGCTGAACAGGAAAAGCATACAATCAGCTTACACTCCTGGCAATATGCATACAATCCAATTCCCCCAATAACGAGACAACGCTACGTTTTGGGGCTAGCAGAACTGACTGTACTGGCACATACAGCCTCTTTTATACCCAATCCACAAACTTAGTACTGCCCACAGGGTTTTACAGAACAACCAATAAACACTTACAATACACTCAGACACTCCCACACAAAATCCTCCCCTCTGCCTGAGATACAATTACTTTACACAATGGGTAATATAATTATCACAGACAGAGGAATACAGTTTCATAAAACACATCATAGGGACCCCAAAACATGCAATAACCCTATAAAAAGTATATCCTTGAAACCGGGGGATCTGGGTGAACCATATATCCAAAATTCACCCAGATCCGTTCAGTACTTTGGAAGATACAGTTTAATGCAGATTCCACAGAACATATGCAGGCTAAATGAAAAACAATTACTGTATAATGTGTCCCCTGTTGTATAGTCCAAAACCACAGCACGATGTCTCTGTGCACCAAATACCAGCGAGATGGCACCGTGTTGAAAAGCCCAAACAGTGTCTGTGAGTTAAAATGGCCGCCATCCATTGTTCTCACCATGTGCTTCATCCATTGTCCTCACCATGTGCCTCTAATACATGAAATGGTGGCCACCCAGTAACTCCACAGTATGTCCCCAGATGGTTCTTAAAGGGCCAGCAGCAGCACAACACAAATCCATTATGCCCAAATCATGTCTTTAAAGGGCAATACATCCCAGGGGCCATAGTCACATGGCAGGAGGCTGGCAATCAGTCGTCTCCAATGCCCAGTGGCGAGGTCGGTTTCGCCACAGGCGCCATGCTTGCGCTGCTGAAGTTGGTTCTTTTGTAGATAGGGTCGTTGTACGGGTACTAGCGTTGCCCTCAATTTGTAATCCAGGAACTGGTGTTGTCTTATAGCTGTCCTTCTGGGCTGTGGAAATGATCCCGTCGCTTGCCACCAATTGTAACGGACCGTTTTGCACATAAGAGGTTAAAAACCGTTTAGGCGATATTCCCCTTTCTCAGCTGCACAGACAGCTACTGAAAGCACCAATCTCCCGAACTGCAAACCCACAAATTCACCAACTCCCGAACTGCAACCAAGGGAATACTCGAAACTCCCGAACTGCATACCAAGTAGCCCTCCAAACTCCCGAACTGGAGACACACGAATAACTGTTAGCAGACGAACAGGAAAAGCCCTCAAGCGGCTTAGACTCCTGACAATCAGTCTCTAAAGGCATACAGTAAATCCTCCCAAAGACGAGACGACACTTCGTTTTGAGGGTCAAGCAGAATCTGGTTTACTGGGGCTAACTGCCTGGCTTTTATGCAGGTCTCCCACTTGGTGGACACTCCCCTAGGGGACCAAATGGGAGACTGGGACACAAAGGGTACAAGAACCAATCACAGACTTACACATTTCAACCATCCCACAATGCATCACAATTCCTCCTCTCTGTCCTGGAGATAATTGGGAAGTAATCCAATTATCTCCAAGGACAGAGGCAAAACTCCATTACACACAATTCCAGTAAAAGACATAAAATTACATACAGTTACATTTATTACATAAAACATATACATTCTACATATCCCCAGATAGCTGAGATCTGAGCGCACATTACTACCGAATGGCGCTCAGATCACATACATACATTTCAATCGCCATGGAGCCAAAGTCTTTCACATAGTCTTTCGTTACACGAATAGGCTCCATGGCTTAGCTATCTGGGGTGATGCTGTTCATCCGGTTAAATTACAGAATGAACAGTCATTCGGTTCCGCAAACGAATGGGAAGGTAAGGAGGCTGGCCGCTCAGCGGTGTTCGCGCCAATAAGTGTCCGTTTTCAGTTCCATAGTTTGGGCGCTGAACACCGCTGGCCGATCGGGAGGTAAAATGGCCGGTGCCATGTGTTCGGCAACCGAACAAAGGCCACCCAGCATTCATCAATTAAGCTGCGGTTAACCGCAGCTTCTGGGCGGTCAATTGACGGCACACTCCAGCTCCCAGGTGGTCCATCGTTTGGTAGTTTGTTTGGTAGATGGAATCTACTGAACACCCTGGCAGAAATGCACGAATAAACCTTTCAGCAGGGAAAATAACAGGTCTGAACTGCAGGGCCATAGTCTAAAGGGAGCAGGCGAGCAACCAGGCTTCTTCAGTGCGTAGTGGCGAGGTTGGTTCCGCCACAGAGTTTAATTATGACCATAATCTCTGATTGCAAATGTTCCATTAACGACCACTTTTACTGATCCTCCTTGTTAGGCAATTGCAAAGGATACAAAATAAACATGCACAGAGTATTGGCAACAAAAAAATAAAACAAATCTGGCGCTATACTGAAAGGACACTCCCCAAAATGTCAGACTCTGTCAATATATTTATACTGGCAGACATTTTGTGTTAAGACAGAAATAAGTCGCCATCAGAACAGGTGATTCCATTTTGTATCACAATACAAAGACAGGCACAACATTTTTCTCTCTGTAACTCTATTCATTCAAGCCTGAGCTAAGGAATGTGACTTATGTAAACATTTGGCAGAGATACAACCTTAGATAAGGCATGATGGATACAGCAAAAGGGGGGTTGAACGCAACAACCCAGAGACAAATATATATATATATATATATATAATAAAAATAGATAGCTTGGCACTCTCCTTCCTTGTATTCCAACTGATAGCTGCCCGGGTGCAATCCACTGTGCGTCCGTAATATAAACAAAAAATATATCCAGGGTGCACTCTCGGGTCTTGAACAAATAGAGTGATTTATTCAATCATGTGCAAAATAAAGACAACCAACGTTTCGACCCCTGCGGGTCTTTTTCAAGGTTACTGTGCTATCATATTCAATAAATATATATACATAAATTGTAAATACCCTTACCAATCAGTTGCGCTGTGAATCCCTTCACCGAAACCCGGAAGTGAGTTAAGACCGCCCACTCTACACGTGATGATGCTGAGTGGGTGGTCTTACTCACTTACGGGTTTCGGTGAAGGGATTCACAGCGCAACTGATTGGTAAGGGTATTTACAATTTATGTATATATATTTATTGAATATGATAGCACAGTAACCTTGAAAAAGACCCGCAGGGGTCGAAACGTTGGTTGTCTTTATTTTGCACATGATTGAATAAATCACTCTATTTGTTCAAGACCCGAGAGTGCACCCTGGATATATTTTTTGTTTATATATATATATATATATATATAAAAAAACACACACTATACACATATAACTTAGTACTATTTATATATGATTAATACAATATAGTAAGTTAATAATATAGAATATTTATGGATATAATATCAATGAAGAAATGTCATATTATTTACTAACGTTAGTGGAATATGTGTAATAGACATATATAAATAATATTACTATGTGCTACACACACGAAAACCAGACAGGATTACGAATGACAGTAATTAATTTTACTTTCTAAAAACTAACAGAATCTTACAAAGTTCCATTGTAAGGAAGGGTGAAATTAAGGCTACAGGTGCCAAATTCTAATTTTATGACACTGAAAGCAGAGTGTAAGACTGGAAAAACGCTTTGAAGTCTGATAGGTTTGATGGACGGTTATCCATAAAAGATAACCAAGATGATGTCAAACGCATCACGAAATTCGGTTAACCCATTATACAAAAAGGTAAATGGACCCCCTGACAAGAATTTTTAGTGATGTAATTGCACCACCTACTGACCAAAATCTAGATGATAGTCTGTAGGGAAGACACAAACACAGTTCTCTATTGGTTACCATCAAATAGTATCGAGAACGTCTCCTTTAAAAATTAAGGACAAAGGAGAGGACTGGAGACTCTCATACTCAGACACTCTTAGACTTTCACACTCAGACTCAAATACACTTTCACTCTGAGGATGGACTCACATTTAAGATCTAAGATCTGACATCTGGAGCCAAACCTGGACACACCTAATTCTTTGCATCTTTTTCCAACTAACACACCTTCAGAACTCTGAAATCTTTTCTATTTTCATACAATTCCCTCATTTAACTTGCATTCACTATTCCTGGGACATATCTTGAAATCTGATAGAGAAATTCTACTACATAACTGGTAATTATGCTGGTTTATATTTAATTTTAATATTAATTATTATTTTTTATTTTTTTTTATTATAGTAGGAATATATATCTGGATAAATGTTGGTCAGATTTCAATTATTAGAAATCATAATTAGCTAAGGAATATATGGTTATAAAAATTCCATTCCTGCAGGTGGAATAAAGATAACGATATATTAATGGTAAATTTGCCAAATGTTAGCATACCAAACTTTTATCCAGAGGTATTGACTTATTCCGAAAGTAAGGATAGTGAATCTTAATTAGAAAAGTTAAAATTCTGCAAACGTAAAATATGGTTAGAATTATTCTTATTGGATGGACACAGGAATGGTCAATGATCAAGTATGAGAAATATTGTAGTTGTAACATTGCAATATAATAGAATATCTTGCCTATGAGAATTGTAGTCAGCAGTGAAAGACTTAATTCAGTGTGATTTGACTGTCAGTCAAAGTTTTTATTGCTTTACGCTGTGCTGCTGTGATCTGTGTTAAGTTGATTTCAAAGTAGTGTCCTGTCGTAAATCTTGTTGAAAACTGCATACATGGCAATATAACTGTTGCTATTTAGCTGTCTGTAATTGTGTTAAACCACTGCCATATTGTATACTTATGTTATACCTAAATATTCACTGATATTATCATGCATGTTACTTATTATTATTGTCACAATAAATTATATTTTTATAATTAATTTGTGATTAATGTGTGAGATAAAATCTTCTAATGAAACTTACTCCAGGATCTATGAGAATTAAAATAGTGGGTAATTCTTAGCTTTAAATCATTAATCGGGGAAACAGTGGCAAGATATTAATTTTGATATAATAAAAATTATTCAATTAATTTAATAATTATGAAAATGTTATTCTAAATATTTATCACCCCATAAATATCCTCACAACTCACAATAACAATAAATTAAAGGATGTACACCAATAATTGCTGGTTCATATCCAAAATAATCTTTATTACTTAGAGTAAATGCACGAATAATAAATACACAATTTGTAGTCTAAAAAGTGACACAAATCTTGAAAAGAAAAGCAACTGCCCATAAGTTACAAAAAGCCCACTAGAGCTGGACACACGACCAACGAAACTCCCCCCCCCCGCCAACACTTCTGTACCAGAGAACGTGTCTCTCAAGGGATAGCATAAGCACCCAGGTGGGCTTTTACTTTCATATTTCAGCCTTGTGTCTCTTTTTAGTCTACATATTATGTCTGATTATTGTACATGCATTTACTCTTTAATTCAAACATGATTTTGGATATTAATTATTTGTGTACATCCTTTAATTTTTTATTGATTTTGAATATAATAATCTGAGTAAGGAGCCATAATGTTTAGCCATTTGAAAACATGAAAACAATGCCCACACCCCAGCTCTTTTAGCTGTGTTATAAGAGGGGTTCTAACCACTTTGAGTGGTTTTGGTGTTGGTTTATTGCACTGTTGAAGTGCACGGTTTTCACACAACAGATATTACACAGAAATCTCTTATGTTCAAAGCACTGACTGACTACCCTGAAATTGCTCTTGCACAGTGACAGATGTACTGTCTATCATTGTACAGGTTACTATGGAAGATATCCAATGAGGATAATATGAATTACTGAGGATATGTTCACGATAAAACTATAAACCACCTAAAATGAGAAGATCAGTTATTGGTATAATGCACATCACATAGATTAAAGCAACATTACGATATATATATTAAACCTGTAGTCCCTTAATGCTTAAGGTGCAATGGGAGTCAAACCAAGACCAGCTTCAGCGTGTATTTAGGGGCCCCACCCGCCGCGCCGGTGTGGGGTCCGGGGGGGGAGGATATTTGGTCCCCCCTCAATTTTTATTTATGGCCCCCACTCACCACTTAGGGCTGGGGGGGAAGGACAGTAGGTTCCCCCCCCCGCCGCAAAAGGTGGTGGCTGGGGAGAGGACATTAGGCTCCCCTTGTTATTTAGGGCACCCACCTGCCGCGCAGGGGTAGGGGCCGGTGGGAGGACAGTAGGTCCCTCCCTTATTGTTATTTAGGGCCCTCTCCCGCCGCGCAGGGTTGGGGGCCGGGGGGTATGACATTAGGACCCCCCCCAATGCTCAGGAGTGGAGGCTGGGGGGGAGGACAGTAGGTTCCCCCCACTTATTATTTAGGGCACCCACCCGCTGCGCAGTGGTGGGGGCCCGGGGGGATGACATTAGGTCCCCCCCCAATTTTTATTTATGGCCCCCACCCACCATTCAGGGGTGGGGGCCGGGGGGGGAGGACAGTAGGTCCCTCCCTTATTGTTATTTAGGGCCCTCACCCGCCGCACAGGGGTTGGGGGAGAACAGTAGATCCCCCTCATTATTTATGGCCCCCAGCCACCGCTCAGGGGTCGGAGGACAGTAGGTCCCCCCCCTTGTTATTTACAGCCCACACCCGCCGCGCAGGGGTGGGGACCAGGACAGTAGGTCCCCCCCAAATTCTTATTTATGGCCCCCACCAGCCGCGCAGGAGTGGGGGCTGGGGAGGAGGACATTAGTTTCCCCCCCCCCCAAATCTTATTTATGGCCCCCACCGTGCAGGGGTAGGACATTAAGTGTCCACCCCCCAATTTTTATTTATGGCCCCCACCCACTGCTCAGGGGTGGGGAGGACAGTAGGTCCCCCCCCCTTATTGTTATTTATGGCCCCCACCCACCGCTCAGGGGTGGTGGCCGGGGGGAGGACAGTAGGTCCGTCCCCATATTGTTATTTAGGGCCCCCACCCGCCGCACAGGAGTGGGGGCTGGGGGGGAAGACATTGTTATTTAGGGCCCCAATCCGCCACACAGGGATGGGGGCTGGACATTAGATCCCCCCAATTTTTATTTATGGCCCCCACCCACCGTTCAGGGGTGGGGGAGGATAGTAAGTCCCCCCTTATTGTTATTTAGGGCCCCCACCCACCGCTCAGGGGGGAGTACAGTAAGTTCCCCCCCCCCCCTCCACATTCTTATTTAGGGCCCCAATCCACCACACAGGGGTGGGGGCCAGACGTTAGGTCCCCCCCAATTTTTATTTATGGCCCCCACCCACCAGTCAGGGGCTGGAGGGGGGGAGAGACAGTAGGACCCCCCCTTATTGTTATTTAGGGCCCCCACTCACTGCTCAGGGGTGAGTATAGTAAGTCCCCTCCACATTCTTATTTAGGGCCCCCACCCGTCACACAGGGTTGGGGGCAATAGGGGTTTTTTTTTGTAAACTGGCTGCTCACTTTACTAGACACGCCCCTACTCGCGGTATAGCGAGAAGGGGCTGAATTTACTAATACTAAGTAATCTTTACTTAGTATTAGTAAATGTGGCTGGAAGACCAATTTAGGTCTTACAGCCTTTTGGTAGATAACTCCCTAATACTGTGAGAATTAAGGAGTTATCTACTATGTGGCTGCTTGTTATTTTTAAGTGATTTCCCTATAAACATTTGCTTGCAGGGCACTTGTCCTACTCTTACCCCCATTTTACTACCTTTTGCAGCCCTCTAGCCCTTTCCAGGAGGTTTTTTTAGAGCCATTTTTGAGCCCAAAAGTTTGGGTCCCCGTTGACTTCAATGGGGTTCGGGGTCAAGTTCGACTTTTTTCCCCCCAAAGTTCGGCCGAACCCGAACATCCAGGTGTCCGCTCAACTCTATTGCCTACCCCTGATGTAGACAGACATGCTACCGGTGAGGTGGATAGACTGCTGAAGCATGTATTACAGAGGAGAAGGAAGGTTAAAATGTAAGTTACCAATTATATGGTAATATAGGGATAGATTTATTATATGCTGGGGTTTCCTAATCAGGACTCATTTTCTCATAGTATAGATTGAGTAGTCTTGTACTGGTTACATTTGTGGAATTTAAAGGAACACTCCAAGCGGTTACATTTTCTGAACTAAACCCTACCATGCAAAGTTAGTGGGTTGGTAGAGCACTTATGGCACACCCCAGGTAAGATGTCAAACCATATGCTTACAGTGGTGGGTACAGAATACAGGCACCTCCACCCCAAGGATAGAAGCTGAGCAGCATGCTGACAATAGACATACAGTATGCACAGAAGGGACATTAGGCAGCCTGGAAAAGAGTTCTGTTGTCTGTCATGTGTGCCAGGAGCGTAATACAGAAAGTGCCAACATCTTTGTATGTGCAGCATTTCAATTACTTCAAGTCACTGAAGTGATTATGGTATTTTCTAGTAATCTTTTAAGAACGTTGTAGAAACTGAACAGAATCAGATCTCCTTGTGCCCACATACTTTTGGCCATAAAGTATCCTATTACACATTTTAAGAGACAGGGAAGGTCAAAGGTAGATCAGCAGCTGACTTTAAAGATGTCAAAACATTACGTAAGGTTTTGTTTTACAATAGTGGGGATCCATCGCTTGCTATATGACAAGCAATTTGTGACATGTTCCTTTAGACAGTCCACACATTAAACAATAAAAATATATATATTGAACTTTGTTTAATTAAAAAGAATTATTTTCAGCAGACAGGAAAAAAAATCATTTATTCATAATTCTGCCTTTCCATAAGCATATCATAAAAACTTCAATACACAATATACATGCAGGCACACACCCTCCACGAGTCCTGAACGGGTCTGGAGAGGTCCACTCACAGCACTTTCAAACAGGGAGATGAGTTAATTACAGGGTAAGACTTTAAGCCACAGGCCAAGTATCCAAAACAGCAGTGTTTAAGGCTGTACTTCTGCAGAGTCTTCTAATATTGGAATACTGTATTGGGTCACTTTAAATAGCCCTGTGTTAAAGCACACAGTGTGCCATTTTAGTTCTACATATGATTTGATGTAGAAAACCCACTTGTTTTTCTAGGACTCAATTGTCTGCAGCATGAAGTACAGACGGATGAGGTGTGTCCCAAAAATGTAACATGGGTACGAAAAATAAAACTGGAAAACCAGATATATTCATTTAAACACCGAGGTCTAAGAGACACAGGCCACATCATAGAATCCAAACAGTCATTATTAACAGCTTTGTACATCAAGTATTTATACAAAAACAGAATTTTATAAACTCTTTAAATCATGACATTCTAAGTCAGACCAATGTCCCTTTTATAACAAAATACATGTTAAAATAAGATTTCACATCTAAGCTGTAATATTTAAACCCCCCATGAGTCCAACATGATGGTTTTATCAGGCGTTGCTCCAGCAAGATAAATGAGCACATAACACGTCTTCAAAAGGCCAGATTCCGTTTACTATAGAAGATCTGGAAGTAAAAGTATGTACTTGATCCGAGGTGTTCTGGAGCCAAAATGAAACAAAACCGGAAAAACAATGATGCTTTGAATTAATGTCCGCCAACAGTCAGTTCTCTCAAATAAGACTGAGTTAAGGTATGAAGCTCCTCCAGGGCATAGTCCTCTGGCATCGGGAGACGGCCAACAGGGGGGACAAGCAGTTTAAATGGAACACGATTGGCATCTGGTAAGTCATCAGACATGGATTCTGGAGAATGCTGCAAACGAAGGACAACTCTGAGGATGTTGGCGACACGCTTGGCCATCTCTGGAAACAAAATGTGTAAACATTAAGTCATTAAAATAATTTAAAGTTCTTCATAATCTGCTTTATCGTCGCATTACTTCAGATATTTGCACATTTAGTTACTTCAACATTAATAACGCAAGAGGTTTTTTAGCGCACACACAGGCTGCGACAGACCGGAAACATTCACAGCTAATTAACTGAGAACAGGGGATAGTAATAGATTTAATTATAACTCACATGCTGTGAGGGGAAATCAATTAAAGCTTTTTTAGGATTTCCCCGTGATTAAATTCATTGAATAGTCTGCAAGCAGGAGGATTTCCCTTCAGCGTTAAACTCCGAAGTATTAGTCTGAGCAACAGTGATATGCTTCAGACAAGCAAGCTATCACTGGCCACCAACTGTCAGTAAGGCTTCAGACAAGTACAGACATTCTGACATTTACGGAGAATCAATGCTTCTGCATTTGCTAGCAGCATTCAAAAAAGCTGAAGGGGAAATCTTTGTATTCCAATCACTTCATTAACAAAGTTATTTTAGTGCATCGGTTACAAGTAGCTGATGCATTTACGGATCTCAAAATGTTATAGCATAAATTTATAGTAACCATAAGGGATATAAGTGACATTTTCACCCCTAACACACCAGGACCAGCATGCTTTATTCTACCATATAGAGAGATAAAGAATAAGTGATAGGACAATCTGATGGCAGTGAGAATGTACAGTCCACTTTATTTTTCAAAGCCCAGTCAAAAGGGCACAGAAACATGATGTCAATCAAGGAAATCCTGGGGTCAGACTCAATTGAACAGTTTCAGAAGGGTGAAAGGCTGATCTGACCGTGACTGGCAGTTAGCCACTGAGCCGCCTCTTACCCGACTGCGCCAAGCAATCTTTGGCATTATAGCAGGGGATCTGCTCCACCCGGTTACAAAGAGACGTTGCTTTGGTGTGTAATCTCTCCAGTTCACAGCCTGAATAATCAGCCTGAAAGAAAGCAAAGAAGATTCACACACAGAAAGTAGATCCGTTCGTTTGCACATTCAGATAACTTGATGCCAGTTTCAGGACTGAGCGTTTATTCTACATTGTAAAACCAATTCTGATCTTATGGGTCTCATAGGTAGGGTTCTCAAAAACACTGGATCTGTATTTAACAGGTTAAAGTGACACTATATGCACCCAGACCTCAATGAAGTGCAGTGCCCCCGTCCTCTTAGCCATGCAATTGTAATTATTGCAGTTTGATAAACTGCAATAATAACCTGCCAGGGATAAGTTCACCTCTAGTGACGGTCTACCAGAGATCGATAGATGTCACAGAAAGTAAGTCACCCCTTACGCAGGACGCGTGCACTATCCTGGCACCATATTTTCCCTTTAACCCCTTAAGGACCAAACTTCTGGAATAAAAGGGAATCATGACATGTCACACGTCATGTGTCCTTAAGGGGTTAAGCCTCCCTCGTTCCATTTCCTTTACAGAAAAATGCACTTATCTCCCAAAGTGTACAGTGTGTCTTTGCTGGACTCCCTTTCTCCTCGTTCTTACTGCATTTAACGTGTTACGGCTCTGACCTGCCAGCACAATGTCCAGGGAATCAGGACAAGGACATAGCACAAGCTCACAGCAAACTAAAGTAAAGGTAATTTAATGTAAATTAAAAAAGGCCAGCACAACAGGCCCAATTGTTCAAGTCTGTTACACATTTGAAAACATGATTTTGGACTATTTTAAAATTTCTGCAATTTGGGAGATTTCAGTCAAATTCCTGACAATTAGTTTGGGTGTTTATACACTCAAAAGCAAATTTAGTTAACTGAAAAGCATGTAATAAAGACTATGGCTAAAATAATCGCGCAGTGAACTAACACACTTTGCTTTAGCAGATAATATGAGTACACAGCTTCCCTAAAGAGACCTTTTCAGATGGTGCCTCTTTAAACATACATTATACATAACAAAATGGAAAATCAGCAAACCGTGTAATATTGTTAGTGTAGATGAAGATCAAGCACTTCAGTATTTCCCTAACATTACACTTGTTGCTGCTTATTTTTTGTAGATTTCCAGCTGTGTATGTCACTTATACCGTGACTACAGATCAATGAGGAGAATTTTCTAAATGTTCTATTTACGCAGATATTTTGCAATTTGTTTCTCAATTCCCTACAATTTGGAGCTCAGAGAATGAGAGGAACACCTAAATGTTAAAGATTCATATACTTTGAAAGTTAACGTGTTACTTTTCTTGTGAGTTTAGATTCGGAGCCCCAGGGGTAGTGTGTTTCTTTGTACATTACCTGCTGGATACAGTTGAGCATTTCTACGACAGTGGTGTAATCCAGGTACACCTGGCCAGCCGTGTCCCAGTCCTGAATGTGCTTACAGCGCTCAGGGGATGCCAGTACATCTAGGAAGTGTCTCAGATACTTGTAATCCTCATTGATTATGGCATCTGGAAATAAATGGGAATGTAACGGAGAGATGGGTCCCAGAACATTTCCACGCACAGCCAAGGACAATATTCAGGGATATACAAGGAAAGCAGTTACCTGAAGCCAGATATCTGGTCACCAGCTTGTGGCAGTCATTCCAGTGGCCAGCTTTTAGCAAGTAATGGGATTCTTTATGGCGATCGTTGTGCCTCTTTGCACGGATTGCTTTGGCCTCATAGATCCATTCCGCTGGGACGCAAAGCTTGGTAACAAGGAAGGTCTCCTTAGCCAGAGACTCTGGTGTTTCCCGTAATATGCAGTGTCTGTTGAGAAGCTCACGGATGGCAGCTTCACGGATGCTAAAGAAAAGATTACAAACTTAGAATGAAAGAAAAAAAATGCACCCGTTTACCATTTATTAGATGTGCGCACACCAAAATTCAAAGCAAACTTTAGCCCTCACTGCATCAAAATAACGTCAAGATGTAGCAGACATCGCCAGGAATGGATAATAAGTACATTACTCTACAGGGAGAGAAGTACGTTTCTTAGTTCAACTCCACTGCCCTTTTCACTCAGATCAAATGATACAACAAGAAAGGATGTGAAGACCTAGTGATTGCCTAATATTTGGAATTTCGTTCATTCGAGGTTATATGAAGAGCAAGCTATTGTAGCGAAGCATCACTTACTTGGATTTAGGGACATGTAGCAGAATGAATATAGCCCACTCCCAGTGACCCACATTCTCTAGCTGTGCAGCGTAACTAGCGTGCAGGACGCCTTGTCTTTCTTCAGAAAGGTGCGTGAATTGTAAGGCTTGAAGGACCATCCACAGGTGCCAACTAAGGCGATAATCCAGAGGATCAGCAGTCACACTTTTAGGATCCAACAGCTGACCAAGGTTGTACTGCCTAGGATATCCAAAAATCAAAAGATTAAAATTTGACACGATTTACCAACAGCACAAGAGGCTGTTATTAATGTAGATCAGAGCAAGTTGCAAATCCATATATAGTAAGCGATAAGCATCTTTGTTCCAAATAGGATTTGTAACATTAATTCTGCTTTTCAAAATCATTTGATATTATAACTTCAATGAAGCCACTTCTGAGCAGAAACAGACACCATACTGTGACCTTGTATAGCCTTACAGGAAACCTACTAGGACAAAAGGTGAATAAGGGAAGGAAGCAGGCTGCACAAGGACAGTAAAATTCTACCAGTAGAGCATGAGGTGGACTTACCGGTCACTATAGAGCTTTAGCAGGTGGAAGCAGACATCTCTCTGCAGGGAGGGAGAGGAAGGAGTCGCTAGGTCATCATCCAAGCAGATGTTTGTGTCTTCTAGATAAGGAGGGAGTGGGTAACAGGCATAGGATGTCCCATTAAGGTCCTAACATGGGGTTAGAGAGGAATCAACATAATGGTGGATTAGACCACAAAAATAGTCAAACTACACAGATAACCAAAAGAAGTCAATTTAAACGGGTGTAAGGTAAAAAAACAAAAAATCTTTAAGTCCACTCAGTCTGATAAAGAGATTTCCCAGTCTAGCAAAGTTACAAAAACTGGACTTGCGCTGAGCAAAATGTAGCTTTTCCTTTCTGAATGTTAACCATTTACTATTGGCCCATTGGAGGCAGATCTGGCCCCTGTCATGGATGAACCAGACCCTAGTTGATGTTCCTTTTTGGCCAATCTACCTGCCGTTCCACTTCCTTAGCGCCCATTACTGGCAGGTACAGGTGCAATATACTGGGAGACAAACAGTCTGGAATAAGATACAAAAGAATCAGTGTTGCAGTGTGCTCTTCAACAGCAAACTAGATCGCTATATATCAGAGCTCCCAAAGAATGCTATGCAGAATAAGAGCAAGGGAAGACCCTCAAACTGAAACCTTGGACCTATTAAGCACTGAAAGATCAGCAACCTCTAATGTTATAAAAAGAGTGAATGGTAATGTCCCATTAAAGGGTTACTCTAAACACCACGTCCACATCCATGATTTTAAGTGATTATGGTGGTCTTGGTATAAAAAGTTTCTGCTTGAAACACTGCACATACAGAGTTAATTGTGTGCTGGGGTCTAGTTTACCCTTAGCACGTGAGACTGACACTGACCTCCCACCCACCACCTTCTATTGAACACAGATGCTCCTTTGATATCAGAGTGCATGGAAGATCATTTTGCCCAGCACTGCATTGGAAAGTTAAAAAAAAAAAATTAAAATTTTTTTTTTTAAATTACAATTTCTTTTTGCTTTTTTTGTGTGCAAGTTATACTGCAATCTGAGAAGGGGGGACCTTTTCTATAGTGCCCAATTTAACATTTTACATAGAAACGTTCTCCCCCCACCAAAGGGTTGGAGAGAAACAGTTTATAGCAGCGTTTCCCAATTGGTGTTCCACGGACACAAAACTGGGGATCCGCGATGAATTGCCCATCGGGTGACCCATGCACTTAGGGACCTGGTTAGCGCTACAGCTGATTAATTGCGTGACCTGGCACCCGTAGTATGCTATGCTAAGCTGGGAGGAATTGACGGATGGTCACTTCCTCCCAGCTTCATATAGAAGACACCATGCTGGAGGCAGCAGCCGGGAGTGCTAACAGGTATGCTAACAGGACTGCAAATATATTTAAAAAAAAAAAATGGTGTGTGCCAGGCTGTGTATCTGTATGTCAAGGTGTGCATGTGTCACTGTCTATAAGTGTGTGTGTGCATCTGCGCCAGTGTTTTCGTGTCTGTGCTTATGAATGTGTGTATATCTGTAAGTATGTATGTGGCAGTGTATGTGCAAATATCCCAGCACAACATGCAAACACACCCCTGAATTTAAACTCCAAAATATATATATAAAAACACTCAAACACATCCTTCACTTAAACATCAATACTACACACATGCATTTAAAAGCCAACATTACATCCAAACACACAAATGCAAACATTACATACTAACCCATGCACTTAGGGACACCCCTGTATTAAAATGCTAAAATTATATACAAACACCTGCTCCTAAGTTCTACAATCTGTTTACCATCTGTAAAAATAATTTTATACATAAAAAACAAAAAAAAAAAAACTAAATTTGCAGACTCTGCGAAAGGATCACTATAGTGTCAGGAAAACAAAGCGGTGTTCCTGACATAGTGCCCTAAGGGTACCCCCACCCTCAGGGTCCCCCTCCTGTGGCGCTGAAGGTGTTAAAAACCCATCAGCAGCTTAACCGGCGCTGGTGACCTCTCCTCCCCCGCCAGCTCCCGAGTGGAGCAGAATGTGCATGAGCGGCAAGTGCCGCGCGCATTCAAACAGTCCTAGGAAAGCATTTCTTAGTGCTTTCCTATGGACGTTCTGCATGCTGGATGCAAATTTCGCATCCAGCGATGCAGAAGCGCCTCTAGCGGCTGTCAGGAAGACCACCACTAGAGGTTGGATTAACCCTGCTATGTAAATAGCAGTTGCTCTGAAACTGCTATGCTTACATGTGAAGGGATAAAACCTGAGGGACCAGGCACCAAGACCACTTCATTAAGCTGAAGTGGTGTAGGTGACTATAGTGTCTCTTAATTAAAAGGTTTGTGTTACAACAAAAACATTTGGGGGGGGGGCATTCCAAGATGTTCGAAACTATGTTAAAGGGGGTTCCACGTGAAAAATTAATTCGGAACTCCTACATTATAGAATGCTGGGCCGGAGTAGCGAGATAAAATACCCACAAGTAGTAGTTACCTGGAACGCATCCTCGTACATCTTCAAAGCTTGTGCAATAGAGGCTGTGGGTGGTAGCATGAACCAGAGATGAATGGCTAATGTGCGCTTCCAATCCAACTGCGAGCAGACATTTATAGTCTTATCCGAAGAGCGCCAAACCTAAAAAGGCAAAAAGGTACACCAATATCAGAGCTGTGTGAGAAAGCAATGCACCAGAGCTGACAGACATTAACACGAATTTACCGGTGTGCCGGACAGCAAGCTGAACACCTTCAGCCGCTCTTCCTGGATGAAGCAATCCACTTGCAGTTTACTCCAGTCTAAGAGCTGCATGGTAATAAGGTCCCGCACCGGTTGGCTCCCGATCGACTGTGAGATTAACATGGAAAGCCTGTGATCACCTATAACACAAAGCCAGCCGTGAGTACCAAGGCTCTGAAAGAGTGACTGTTTATAGGAGAGCACAGCCTCCTTGGATTCAGTTTGCAACATGCTTTTAAGGCACAAAGGGGGGTTTGGAGAGACCAGTAAAAAAATCATCTTTGTCTGATATTGAATTATGGAAGACTTTTTCCAGTTTTGAAAACCAGAATCAACACCGAACTCACCTGATTTTTGAGCCAGCAGGCAAGCTTCACTGATCCTCCGACCAGTCAAGTAGCTGAACACTGCTTCAATGGGACGCTCGTGGCCATACCGAGACACCTCCTCCTGGATTCTCTCTGATGCAGTATTAGCCAACCACAGTGAGAAGGCTTTCCTACGCTCCAAACTCTTCACATAGTCACTGGGTGCATCAAGACTGACTTCTAGCTCCTTCAGCTGGCCCCACAGAGCTTCACAAAGGGTCCATGCTAAATACCACTCTTTCACCACCGCTACACAGGAAAGAGGGGAGTGAAATAAGAATGGAGCCAGACACCAAGATAAACACAAATCAAGCAATCGCACAATAAAGGCTGCGTTTTCATATAGTCTGTAGCAATATTTAATATACGAAAACCCATCCTAGGTTTCACATTTGATCTAGAACTCAAGATTTCCTAACCAATGTGGGTTAGAGATTCTGGTTTCTTAATACAGTACTCACTCTCTAAGTCTGGAGATTCGCAGCACACGTCAGTGGCCCAGCCAGCATAGTCATGAATGGCAGACACCCCGGGGTTAGGCACAATTCGAGGACATGTCTCTGTGGTATCCACCGTACTGTTCTTCAATTCAATCTCCAGTGGCATCAAGTATGACTGTAGATCTCTCACTTTCTCTTCCAGACTTAACTTCTCTACATGAACTTTAAACGGGGATTCTGCAAGGCTGTAGGTAGATAATTGAACTCTTAATGTACGTAACCCAATTATAGAATATCTCCCCTACAGTCAGAGAGCAATTATTCCTAAACAAACATTTCACGTACAATGAATGCAGACCATCACATATCAGTTTTGGATTACTTACGATTTTCCAGAACTGGGTTTCGGTAGATATTCAAAATCTGTGGGCCCAGTGATAACTGGCTCATCCTCCCTCTCATTTGCATTACTTAATAGGTCTCCATTATGAACCAGAGTCCAGTTTGGCCCCCAACCCACTCTGAATGACCTTCCCATGAACAGTGCCATATCAATCAGCAGACTTCCACGACCAGCTGTGAGAGACACATCCCGTGACACAAGTGTTCGCTGCCTGCAAGTACCCACTGTTCTGAGTGGAATTTCAGGGGCAGAAGGGGGCATCAAAAATACAGAAGACAGCGGCGCTGGAGCAGACCAGGAGGGCCAAGTTGAATTAGAAGAGGGTGCTCTTGGGCTCCAGGGATCTTGAGAATCAGAGGGTTTGAGCAGGGTCCCTGAAAACCTTGATTGCAGAAGATCTAAAAAGGATAACGGAAGCAGTTTACCAGAGTGAAATCACAAACAAAAGTCTAAAAGCAAAAAATCTTTTAACTCTTGGTGCCAAGGGTGTTTGGTTAGGTCGGCAAACAATGGACTATTTTACAATCTTTTATTGCATACAAATGTATTCATTTTGGGCTGAGGCAGGTCTTTGCTGATCAGCTGCTTACAATCAATGTGTGTTAACAGAGCAGTAAATGGTGGAAACCCATAAGGAATGAGCATGCTAATGGCAGCTCAGCCATAGTTTGACGATATCACCAATATATGCCACTTAATGCCAAGAAATCACTAGCCCTCCATTTATGTGGATTACCATTCTTGAAATGCTCAAAACGAAGCATGGTATGAGCTGTAAATGTATTTTCAGGTTTCTTTAAACTGGGAAGTGTGTGAGGGAATGAAAAGGAAGGAACAGGTTTCTCAACATGAAGCAGTTAAACTGAGCGCTCTTGGTGCATGCTGGGAAAAGTAACCCATGTAGAGAGGTATACGAAAAGAATAAATTAATCAGTAGTGCGTCTGATATTTGATGAGGTTGTGGGAGTGGAAGAGTGCTTTGTGTATCCACAGAGATCAAGCCTGTAATTCGAAGCAGTTACATTTTCTGTATTCACTTTCACTACACCAGTGATCGCATTAAACTCCCAAGACAGAATGCTATAAATTGGTGTCTGACTTTGTGATAGTTCCAGTTAATCCCACTAAACTGTTTACTGGGGCTCAGGAAAGTACAATCCACTCTGGGTGCAGCCTGACTAACATATCATCAATATATTTCACTTATTATACGTCAACTGGGCCTGGCCGAGCATGCTTTATATGATCTAGCACTTGTTGTAAAGACAGTCAGCAAACAATTTATAGACAAAGTACCCTGTAAATAAACAGAAGTCCAAAATAATGTAGAATCGGTTATGCCAAAATTATTTTAAAATGTTGCTAGTAGTGATCTCTTCAGCTGCAACCTCAAAGAGATACAAAAATATATAGTGCAACACTATTAAAATGAATGAAATAAATGTCCTAGCCACACTCAGGTGGTGAAGAGCTGTTAGACCTGCTCTTGGTCATACAAGCAGCTGTTTACATCACGCTTCAGATTTTCACCTGGACCAGAATCCTGGATGAGTTGCAGTCTCTTATTTCAGCCGCCAAACAGACCCGAGCCCTGCTGTGCGATACCCTGCAGATCATCAAACAGTTTGCAGTATATACTAAATTAAATATATGTAAACTACTAAAAAGACAGTACTGCACTATGGGAATTTCCCCTATGCTGTTTGAGTTAGTTGAAGTTGAGCAAGGCACGGCAAGTTAAAGTGCAGAACCTCACCCAGCATTCTGTTTGGCGGTTGAAATAAGAGGCTGCATCTCATCCAGCGTTCTTATTAAATAGCACAGCTTACATTTTATTTTCCTCACAGTCACGTAAATAAAGTTACAAGCTGGTGATCCACTCTGAGTCACAGGATAATGCAGCCCGCTAACTGCTCTGAGAAGCCTATTTCTGCCCAGGCAGACTGGCCAACACTAATGCTTAAAATGTTTAACACCAATAACCTGGGAAATTAACGAGTCCCTATCCCAGTCTGATTAGCGGAGAACTAGAACGGCTGGAAATATGAGAACGTTAACAACAATGAAAGATTATGCAAACGTACTTGTGGGCTTCCTCTGCTTTTTGGAGGAGATTGGAAGACGGGGGGAGGGGATATCTTGGGTGGTGTCCAGAGCTGGAGAAAAAGTCCGGAAGCCAGTAATCATACCACCATCATCTTCCATGAAGAGGGAGGCTTTCATCACCTGGAAGGAACAAAACGCTTGTTATGGTATTCTCAGACAACAGCCGCATGACTTTCCAGAGAATCTATTGCTTGGATCAGAATCAGTACAGAAATACATGCCAGGGTCCCTACAATCCGATCCACATTAATTTTAATAAACGTATTTCTTGCACACTGATAGCTCCCTTACAGCTAATAGACAGGCATGCTCCAACTTTACATGAAACCAACTAGCTCAGAAAAACAAGTACCTGGGTAGATGCACACTAGCCGAGTGTACACAAATGCACAAGAAACGAATATGCCATGTTAATGTGACAATTTTGGGCATATGGAGGTGCCTTGGCTTACTGATTACAGAATTTATAAAGGCATTCTTACATTAAAATATTAAAAATGGGGACTTTTTCCCAGAGGAGGCTACCTTACTCAAATTACCAGCTTTCTATAACCAATTTCTATTTACCAAGAGGCATTTCCAGGCAGTAAAAATGACTTACCAGCAACCATTTCAAAGTGTATTTCACATTGCGCATTTATACAATATTGATTAGTGACCAGTTCTTCCTTTCAAACATGCATTTGTCTGACATGTAAAGCAGCAGTCCTTGGCCGTGTAGCTACATTTTTGGGAATAATCTACCTGCAGCGCATGGGGATTCACACCCATTGTAGAGGCCATGTGAGAAGATGCAGATATGGATTCCTGTTCCTCAAAGAATTCTTGGGGCTCCATGACAGAGTCCTGCAGCTGGTCCTGGGTGACATCTGCCATGTCACTGTCCAAATCCAAAACGCGGCTTGGCTGCTGAACAGCATCGCTCTGGAAAACAAGTAGAAAGAGAGGATGTTGTGTTGGCAGCACATTCTATGTACAATCACTCTCAGGACAAGAACAGGTCCTGCAAAATGCACTTCATAATCACCTCTATCCCACGAGTTTTAAAAACAGCCCGAATTTAATATTCAAACCCAGGACCAGCATGTATCCATCACAAAGAGTGCTTGAACCAGAATCCATACAGCAAGCTGAAATACAATGGCGTTCCTGTCTCTAGTCTATTCATTTACTATCAAGGGTACCTCCCGTGTTTCCCTCTCTGGCGGTAATCCCAATAGTGGCTCAGGGTTAATTTTCAGTACAAAAAGCGGTAACCCTGAGCCACGCTCGGGATTACACTGTAGTATCCTTTACCTTGTCCCTACGAGCCCCTGGTGTCCTCCGCCCAATGTTGGCATCAGTCTTCCAGGTTCCCTTTCTCCGAGAGCACTGCCTGGCAGAACTAGGTGGGAAATTTCACACACAATACATTGTAAAAACAATGTACCACTGTAACAAAAAAAATACATTCTTCCTACCACCATCACAGACTTGCCAAATGGTCTGGGACATGTGGGATGCGTGGAGGTTGGCTACCCCTTGACTCTGTAACCCCTGATTATGCAAACTTTAGTAACCCTGTTCTACATCAAAATCATGCAAAAACAATTTTTATATTTGTACTGAATCCATGCACATCATGCCTCACCTGCACCTTTACACCAACCGATAATGAACACAGATGTAGTAAAGACCACTGCTTAGGTTCCAACTTCCATAGTATGCCCTCTAGTTTCCCACCTCCTCAAAAGGTAATATCTGGTTGCGAGTCCCCCATTTATCTTGTGCGCCCACCACTCACACAAACTAACATCACAGAGGGGTGACTTAAGGCTTATCCCATGACACACCCTACCAGTTCCTGATATCTAGAGGTGCAGACGTTCTGGGACATGTGGCTCTCCCCTTGGGTATAACTATTTATACTGTTTTAGTTGTTCTTATGGTCTATGGATGGACTGTTTGTTGCCGGATCCATTCTAAAGCTGTATCTAAGCCTTCAGGGGAACCAGTGGAGATAAAATGTGTGCTGCGCTGACATACATGCTGTGTTTCTTCCCTCGCCCCCTACATTAAAAAAATAAAATAAAAAAATTAAAAAACCAAGTTTAAAAAATAAATAAAAAATACTGGCATAATCAGACCGGCAGGGAGGTTAATCTGAATATCATTGCCATCACAGAAACACTAGCCAGGATATCAGACGGTGTGGTGCCTAGTTGCACAACTAGCAAACTGCTTGCTACAAAGATCCCAACTTGCTCTACTTCACGAATACTATATTCAACGGAAAGAGAACACCAAGAACTGCAAGTATGGTGGCTGGGAGAGCACTGGGTCTTCTCTTCCTGTCCTATCAAAGCTGCTAAGCTATAGCTTTCCATCAACCAACTTCCATGACCAAGTGATCACCGCTTCTACCATAATGCATTGGGCAGGCACCACGTAAAACACATAAGAAATTTAATAGGAAAACATTCTTGGAAGTCAAGGGCCACTTTGAAGACTTGTTACATGCCATGAGCCACACCATAGACTCATCTTAAATCAATAGCAATTCTAATAATTCAATGTTGGGAACTATTCCCGTGGTAGCTAATCCGAGACCGTGCTTCATATAATCAGTAATTGTTCTTCAGCTTTGACTTTGAGTGCTTCTTTCTGGAAAGTTTCTCTCATGTAAGTATGTGCTTCCGACAAATGAGAACATTTTGCAGAGTATTCTTAAATTGATACATTTTCCATTTTCTACTTTTTTTGTAAAATTCTAGGAGAGACATTTTATTCTATTTGAAAAGGTCAGGGATTTCTATTTGGAGTTCCCGTGGACTCTTAATTTACAGAGAAGGGGTTAATTATCACATTCAGGAGTCTCTTGGAAGGAGCAGAGAAAATCTAGTCCTGTATAGCAGACTGAATTCTAACTCCCTTCCATGGCAAGTTAAAATGACACGATTGGCCCCTAGGCATGGATTTCACCCTTGTGATAAGCCTTTCTTCTCTGGCTTGTTTCCAAATTCCTGCTGGAAAGTTCTACATAAAACCAAACTGTAAACAAAGGAAGGTTATGTATAAAAAGTGGCACACACTTAAGGTTTTTCCTTCTTGCATCAAAATTCTAAAGGTCCAGTAAGTTTTTTTTGTTCACAATGTTGCTATTCTGTGTATATATACACACTGTACCAAAATAAATATAAAGTCTACATTTAAAGGGACACTAAAGTCCCCAAAACACAACTAGCTGAACGGAGAAGTTTTGGTGTACAGATCACGCCCTGCAGTCTCTGCCATTTAGGTGAAGTAACCATTTTCTACACAAGTAAATGCAACAAGTGTACAAAACTAGAAGAAACGTGAATGTAATGTTTAATACAGGACCCAGTTTTCATCTCAACTTTGCAATTCAGCTTTCAATTAACCGAACAAAGCGAAGTGCTGGTACTGGAGCACTCACAATTCCATATTGCCACTGGAGGGCAAGCACCACAAAAACACACTAAATGTTAAACAGTGTCGCACAGGACCAGGCACCCATGGCCTCCAGGAACCATAATGTTAAACTACAGAAGTGGATTTGGTGCCTACAGTATTCCTTGGAGCACATGCTAAAGCACCAATCCTATAATTTGAAAATCAAACTCAAATTTGAGGTAATTTTACAAAAAACACGTTAAGGGACATTCCTAAAAAGGGTCTATGTAACAGGAGAGAAAAAGATGGCAAATGCACAGCAATCAATATACCAGTCAGGTACCACACAAAACAATAAAAATGTAATAAAGCTGACCCATATAAAGATTTCCTTTCGTGTCAACCCGTTCCAGGTGCTATAAAATAAAACAAAACATGCAGCTGGCCCTCGAGGACAGGTTCATACAGAGACTCTGACAGCACAGAGAACAGCGAGGTCCAGAGCGTACAGCAGTGTCTTAGTGATTGTTGTGCAGCTCTCCCACTGCATGGAAATCTACTGAGTTAAGGTTTAGGCAGATTTAAACATCTTTATAGAAACACCAAATTAGATTTGTGAAAAAGCAGTTACTTGAAAAACTCTGCTTAGCAAGGTAAGCTGGGTTACACAAACTGTTAGCAGCTGTACTACAGGACAAGGAGTGTTACATTTTAGAATCACATTTGGGACAAGACTAATTTTAACCATTCTGGTTACTGCAACTCATGTCACTTTACCATCAATCCAAGAATCCAACACCAGCTGCAACACAAACCTTAACTGTAAATGTCCCGACTGCTGGTAGCGTAGCATACTAAACCCAGCTATCAGAATATACATATACAAAATCCACTAGTTCGTCCCAACTGACAAAATCATTTTTCAGTTATGAAAATGAGTAAATTTGGATTCTGAAGCCAAATTGGGTACCCCCACGGTATTTACCAAAAGCAACTTAATTAAATTCAGAAATGTTAACTTTTGCAAATCTGCTGGTTAAAATGTAATTTTGCGGTTTCCCTTCCCAAGTGTTTCACAGACCGTGCCCCCCCCCCCTACTAACGTAAAGAATACAGCTCTGGCAACCACGTGCAGCAATACCAGTTTAGTTTCTATATGGATAAACCTACAGCAAAGGGAATTCCCTCTGGTTACATGGTAGAGAGCACGAGAGCAAAACCTCCCTTTCTACTGCAGAATCCAAGGCTTTCCTTACCCATTACTTTCAGCAGTGAGACCAACACTTCCAATCCTGTAGGTCTCCCCATCTCAGAGTGAATCCGCAGTGAATTCAGTCACAGTGATTTAGAAGCTGTGTGCAGACCTCAACTTTGGGCACTGCACGCTAGTTCTAGTGGGACCACTGAGTCTTGGCCTCAGCTGAGAGGGGAGAGACTTCTACATCAAGCCCTGGATGTTCTGGGGCTAGTACTTGCTGGTGTCAAAGCTCGTAACTACACGTGAGTATGGAATTTCAAGGAGAATGTGAAAGTCAAGTAATGCGTATCGAGAGTGTGTGTATATATATATATATATATATATATATATATATATATATATATATATATATATATATATATATATATATATATATATATATATATATATATCTCCAAATTAGCAATGTCGGTTATTGGACAGCACTTTATTCTAAAAGCTAGAACTGGGTATAGGACCAACATCTAAAATTTTCACCCACACCATAAACATGGGATGTTGCAGATAAAGACACCAATAGGGTTATTTCCTAGTGAATTTTAAGAGAATTTCAGTTTCTGAACTGAAAACAAAGCTGACAATTACTCCAGTTTGGTTATTTTGAAATTTACTTTGATTTCACATTAATTTATTGAATAACCCAAGTTTTTATTTTTATTTGTTTTTTTTACTGAAAGCAGGCATTTTTGCTCCAGAGCCACCACAACGCAATACACACTGACATGACTGACAAGACGGCGTCTTATTAATCCAGGTTTACAGTTTATGCCGTCTATTGTTGGTCACCTAAAATATTGCCTGAACGTGGTTTAAGGTGTAGAAATATATTGTATTAGATACCTTCAAGTGACAAAGTGTAAATGTGAATGCAACGTTGCATTGGTATAAAATGTAATGTGATTAACATATCTTATCACAAGATGACTAAACCGGAAATATTATACATTAAAAAAGTTACAAATCAATTCGTTCTATCAAAAGTAAGAAAGTGTCCATGTCTGAGATCTGGACATACATTATGTACTACCAATACCAATCTTGCTCTACTGGACAAGGACTGCAGATTGCCACCATCGTCTGGTCTTCATTCTGCTCAGGCACTTTGACATTACTGGGTTCTCTGATTTTATACTCCAATGCGCTGCCTGGACCTTAACAGATAGGGGGTTTTCACTGACCTGGGACACTGGGGGCTCCAGTAAAGAAGAGGAGCCTTTATGTAAACAAGAAGGTAATTACAATAATGTGTTTAAAGTTTTACTTTTAACCCCTTAAGGACACATGACGTGAGAGACATGTCATGATTCCCTTTTATTCCAGAAGTTTGGTCCTTAAGGGGTTAAGGGCATACATTAAAAATAAAGTACTTCAGCTTAGTGAAGAGCGGTGTGTGTTAAGATCATATTCTACAAGTACAGATTTCAATAAAATGTAAATTACACCTTCCCAGCTCCCAGTAAACAGATCCTGTTACTTCCTGGTTAGGTTAACTCAGTGGCAGCAATTGCCCAGAGCACCTGCCTGGCAGACTTGTCATTGAGCTGCATTGGGAAGACTCAAAAACTAGGCTTGCAAAGGCTGTGTAGCTATGATTATACCACTAAATACAAATAGCAGGATAAATTACATGCAGATTTTCTTCAGGGGTACATCTAGTCAATTTTTTAATGGCATGTTTCTTATAGTGGTAATGGTGTCCATGTTAAAGAGAGGAATCAATAAGATTCTCACACCTTCACAACTACCAAGAATAATAATGGCAGCAAAGTTAGAGGGGGTGCAGATTGCCCAACAAGGTCATTAAAACTCAACATTACAAATAGTACAGCAGCAATTTTAATATAGAAAATAAACAGTTTAAAAAAAACAGCAAGAGTATTTCACACAAATCACAGGCTTTTAATATTAACAAACAGTCAAAACTAGATATTCAATTTAGTTTGGCTTGCCATCTGCTGCAACAGATAAGTGAAAACTATTAAATCCAGATTTAGAAGGGGCAAAATCAGAGTGAACTTTTAGGTTCTTTTTGGGGTGTTTTTTTTTTTTAAAACAATCACAATAGTAAAGACTAGTCGCATATACTTCAACCACATGAAATTCTACATTCCAGGTCACATGTATATTTGAGAATTCTTTAAAAAAAAAAAAAAAAAATAGCACTTCGAGCAACTAACCTAAAACTCTGCATTATTAGATTTCAAATATTATGGCACCAAACTAGCAGCACAGGCAAAGCTTTTAACAGGACTGTGGTAAAACGGACATGCTGGACAAATTCTGGTTCCAAAAATAGGAATAGCGGCAGCTATAAACTAAAAGAGTCACACTCCTGGAGTGTATGTTAAAACTTAACGTTAGGAATCTTCAAGGTAGACACATCGTTATGTTGTAAAACTCAAAATACAGCTTATAAAATGTAATGCATCTAGGATTTCAGACATTTTAAATTAAAGAGATTAAACCGATGTGCACAAGTCACTTTAATGACCACTAAAACTTATCCAACAGATTTAAAATGTTGGCCTGCATTCTAGACCTCCAGATACCCCCAACTCCTTCACTACCTGGGGTGGAGGGATGACTTCCCCATTCAGAGCGGTTGGTGGAACTGGAGTGGGTGCAGGAGCAGCTTTTAGCTTCTTGGCTTCAGCACTGGCTACTGGCTGGTCATCTTCCTCCTCATCAGAATCCTGCAGCCCATACTTTGAGAAGTGGCTGACCTGGAAAAGCAAAGACACGAGGAAAGAACAATTAACTGATTTTAGAACTTAGGTAAGAATCCGCTTTGTAGCACAGACATTTCATCTACATATTGCACCCAGCTAGCAAGTGTACACAAATGGGAGGCACCATCAGTGGCATGTTAACCAAATGCCACAAAAAATAAATCAAACAGCCCATTCCTGAAAGATTGCCACGCACAGGACAAGGTCTGCATTTTTCAGGAAGAGGAAGGATTGGTGGTGGCAGCACATTTACTTTTACCAAATGCCAGAAGCTACCTTGAAGGAGGCACAAAACCTGGAAAATACATTATGGTGGAAATTTATTTGGACAAAACTAGCTCAATGGAATAGATTCGCCGGGCATTTACATGTGGAGTTCTAGTCATTGAATTTATTGTTACTGGCATAGACTGTGTATATGCAGTTAGGCAAACCGTTTCATTAAAAAGGAGTCCACAAGCTATTTATTCAAATACAAAGTTCCATTCAACCTACACAAGTGTGCCACAAACATGCATTAAATAAATTCAGTACTGGAATAGGTAAATTGTATTACTGACAGCATTAAAAACAAATTCCAAACAATTAAAAGTACCAAGACACCAAAGATTTGCCTACGCACCTTAAACACCCAGGAGCCAGTCTCTGGCCGATACTCTTTGAACTGGGCGCCCTGTTTACGTGATGCAGTCTCCAATTTGCTCTTGTAATTAATTTCAGACAGACGTTCAGGGCTCTTAATCAAACTGCGTGTGGTTTTATCCATTGGCCAAACTTCGTCCAGAGTGACCTCTGCACGCCTGGAACACAACAGAACATCGGTGAAACAGTAGGAAGGGGAACGTAAAATAAACCAATCCGTTTTAAAAGATACAATCCACAAATGCTATAGTTTTGACAAGTGCCAAGTAGGTTTAGATGGTTCTAGTAAGTCAAAAGGAGCCCCCATATTCCTGATAGAATAAGCTTTTCAAAGCATTGACCCTCACCAGTACATGGTGATCACCTACAACTTGTCAACCTTTTCAGGGGCTGCTTTTTTTTGGATTTAGCAAGAGTTCAGAATCCAGTTCAGTCCTGGCACAGGCAAGGCACACACTGCACAGATGGAGAAAGACTGGTTATGCTATCACTGCTAAATGCCGAGTGTAAAGGGCAGATCAAACTAAATACAGGTGTGTGGATTTCATTTTCAGGCACCACACATCTGTTAAATGGTTACTCTAAGCACCTTGAGAACCACAGTGATATGAAGTGGTCATGGTGCCTGTATGTGCAATTTAACCCTTTTGCTGCTGGAGTAGTAACTCCCCCTCCAGTACATCCAAAGGAAGGAACTGCCGTGTGCGTATACAGGGAGAAAGAAGCATGTGAGGTGTAACAGCGGTGTCCTACCTGTTAAGTCCCTCTCCCACTGGGGGCTTGTTCTGGTCATCAGTGTAAACAATAACTTCTTTCCTCCGGATATGCACAATTTCATCCAAGTTCAAGTTGGTCAAATTAACGATCCCGTCGAAGTAGATCGATCCATATCCTGGAAGATGGAAATGGGTGAAATCTTAAACCAAGCGTTTTCATGGTCTTCCCTGCTGCACATTATACAAAATGTAACTGCTGCTAGCTGGACAGAAACAAGGGGAATATTCTGATAGGATTCTTTCCTGCTGCTAGCTGGACAGGAACACTGGGAATAGAAGCTAGGATCTGGAGAACAGGTTTCAGTGTAAAATATGTTTAAACTTAACTCAATTCCTAAATAATGTCACTAAAACTAAAAGGTTAGCCATCACAGCTTTTCTAAAAGCTTGGTAGCCAGTACCAAAACACTCATGGTCCAGAACTCCAGTGAGGTTCTAGAATTCTAGTTTCCATGTAGTTAGCGTGTGGCTCCTGCATTATTTATCCAGCAGTACGCACCTAAACTAGAGAGGCATTACAATATAATTCTAACACCCAGACAGGCGGAGGTCATTTGAAGGAGACCCTCCTTCAAATGACCTCCGCCTGTCTGGGTGTTAGAATTATAGCTGAGTGAACACCAACAGCTTTAGGAAAGTTCATTGTCAAATTTCCAAGGGTCCAGACACTCACCCCTGCGTCCAATCGTGAAGCCATCTACACTGCACTCGCCATTGTCATCGGTAAGTTTAGCCAGTTCCTCCATAGATGGAATAGTGTAATAGTCGTGTCGTGTGAGGACAATTCCTGGAAGATATGACAGTAACAATGAATACACACCACTTTCCCTGGTAAGTAGGTATATTTAAAAAAAAAAAAAAAAAAACCCCACACACAACCCATCAGGCATATTGACATTATTACTATTGCCAATTATATAGCTCAAACAGATTCCGTAGCGCTTTACAATATTATGAGAGGGGGGATTTAACTATAAATAGGACAGTTACAAGAAAACTTATAGGAACAATAGGTTGAAGTGGACCTTGCTCAAACAAGCTTACGGTCTATAGAAAGTGGGGTATAATACACATAAGGACAAGAAATGGCAATCAAATAAGGTGGGAATGAAGCAGAGCTGGAGGAAAGAGTAGAGTGCTGCCCTTAAGGAGAGAGTAAGAAACCGGTATATGAGGTAGAGGTTACACTTGGAGACCATAAGCTTTCCTAAAGAGATGGGTTTTAAGGCCCTTCTTAAATGATTGAAGACTAGGGGAGAGTCTGATGGGGTAGGCAGGCTATTCCATAGGAAGGGAGCCGCCCGCAAAAAGTCCTGCAAGCGTGAGCTGGCCGTATGGGGTTGGAGGAGAGGACACAAGGTGGTTACGGACAGAGCGGAGGGACCGAGAAGGGGTATATCTATGGATCTGTGAAGAGATACAGGAGGAGCTAGAATGGTTTAGTACTTTATAGGGATGGGTTACTTTGAACTGACTCCGATAGGATACAGGAAGCCAATGTAAGGACTGAGAGGGGTGAGATGAGAGGATCGACTAGAGAAGAAAATCAGTCTGGCGGCAGCATTCATTACAGACTGAAGCGGGGCAATACAGCTTTTTGGAAGACTAATTAGGAGATGTTACAATAATCCATGCGGGAAGTTACTAGAGCATGGACAAGCTCCTTGGTAGCATCTCCTGTATATATAAAAAAGGGGGGGGGATTGAAGAAAGGCAAGCAGTGACACGTTGCAGGACTTAAGGGGAGAAGTCCAGGGAGGAGAGATATAACTGGGTGTTATCAGCGTACAGGTGGTAGTGGAATCCAAAAGAGGTAATAAGTTTGCCAAGTGAGGCAGTATAAAGAGAAAATAAAAGGGGGCCAAGGACAGAGCCTTGGGGGTCTCCAAGACAGGACGAAGGGAGGAGGTATCATTAGAATGGAGACACTGAATGAGCGTTGGGAGAGATAAGAGAAAAACCACGAGAGGACAGAGTCACAGAGACCGAGCTATTGAAGAGTTTGAAGAAGTAGAGCATAATCAAAGTCAAAGGCAGCAAAGAGGTCAAGAAGAATTCATATGCAGTGGTGGCCTTTGAATTTAGCTGTGATTAGGTAGTTAGTAACTTTGATAAAAGCAATCTCAGTAGAGTGGAGAGGGTGGAAGCCAGATTGAAGAGGGTCAAGGAGAGAGTTGGAATTGAGGAAGTGAGACATACGGGTAGATAAATCTTTCCAGAAGCTTTGAGGGAAATAAAGGAGCAGGGATATGTGAAGATAGTTAGAGGGGGAGGACGTGTCAAGAGATTTTTCTCAGAATAAGTACTACAGTGGCAAGTGTAGCTGAGAGCTGGTCTCTCACAGACTATTTCTGCTGGTAATCCAAGTGAGGCTCAGGAACAAGTATTAAAATCCAAGAGAACAGTATCCACAGTAATCCAGAATATCCCATCACCTTTCCCAATGACTGGACGACACACAGCATCAGGAGCAGAACTGAACCTTTATTCCACACATCCTTCTTTTAAGCATTTCTCCCATGCAAGGGAGGCACCCACAGTAATTACAGTGACCAATCATTTACCAGTTACCTCCCACACATCTCCTCCCCTCAGTATGACACATAATTCACTTATACAGTATATAGTTTTACCCGGTTTTCAGATGTACCCCAAATATGCTAGATACAATTATACGTTTTATATCCCCTGGTAGCCCTGATCTGGGTGAGCAACATATTCAAAAATCACCCAGATCAGACCAGGGGTTCGGGAGTTATGTGGAAGTAGTTATTTGACCGACCGCACACGAAGCAGTAGCCGAAAACACTTCAATGTGTTTTGGCCCTGCACTCGGTCTTTGTTCGGGAGATAAAAAAAACAAACATCATTGCCATCCAGGGCTGAGCTGGGGGTTCGTAGGAATCTCCTTGTTTGGGAGATTCATTCCACCGAATGATGGGCTGGCTAGTTGTTCCGTTCGGTAGTTACGGAGCTCTGGAGGTCTCAGTGGTGTTCGGATAATCGAGTGTCCGATTTGGGTTCCAGACACTCGACGACCAAACACCACTGAGCGTTCGTATGCAAGATGGCCACCGCCACGCGTTCGTATGCCGAACAGCGGCCACCCAGAAAACCCACACGAGTATTTAGTCAATTGCTAATTATCCTGTGGTTACAATGAATTAAGGGGTAACTGCAGGACGAAGAGGAGAATTCTAGGTGTTAAAGAGACGACTGGGATTGCGGGAGCATGAACTAACGAGAGGTAAAGTATGACTGTTTGGCAAGGGCAAGAGCTGCGCTGTATGAACACAATATAATTCTATAATGGGAGAAAACCTGCCTAGGTGCGAGACCTCCAGGAGAGTTCAGCACAACGATAGCATCTTTACAGGTAGCGTGTTGATTCATTATGCCACGGTTGGGGGTGTGTCCTCCTCGAGGTGCGTGATTAGAGAAGGGCAGCAGCATTCAAGGCAGAGGTGAGGGTAGTGTTATATGTGGAGATGGACAGGAAAAGGAAAGGATGGATAGCAGTTGTGAATCAATATCAGCTGACAGCTACTGGAGGTCAATAGAATTAAGGTTCCTCCTGAGTTGAGGGGGGGATAGGCTGAGGGGGGTTGGGTGGGGAGGGCAAACGATAAGAGGTGGTGACCAAAGAGGAAATGGAGTGTTGCAGATATTAGATAGTGTACATGCATAAGAGAAAATTAGGTTGACTATTGCCAGCTACATGGGTGGGAGAATTAGCCCACTGTGATAGCCCGAGGGAGGAAGTAATTGAAAGTAGTTTAGAGACTGAGGTCAAAAGGTGGGTTAATGGGAATACTTAAGTTCCTGAGAATTAGGGATGGAATATTAGAAGAGAGGAAGTAGGGTAGCCAGGCAGCAAAATGGTCAAGGAAGAGGAGAGGGGAACCAGGGGGGCGATAAACAGCAATGTTAGTAGAGAAGGGTTTGAAGAGCCAAACCGAATGACAGATAGGAACTATGGGGCTTTGCCTCTGTACAAGTGGGTGGAGCTGGCGGGGGAAGGGAGGGGTATGATCAGAACAGAGGAGATATGTAATAGTAATTCATCAAGTACCAGTGACTCATGATATTAAATACTAATGCAAGGAGTCTAAACAACAAAACGGGGGAACTAGAGGAAGTCGCATACACCAAGAAATTTGACATAAGCATAAAACAGAAATATGGTGGGATGACATGACTGGGCAGTTAAATTAAATGGCTACACATTATCTACGATAATCTAAAAAGAACAAATAAAAAATCCAGCCTTATTAATTACACCTTTAATAAACTATAAGTGCATAAAACCATGTAAAAACATCAAATTGCGTTATTGTATACAAGTCACACCAACAGACCAGAAACGAAAACATAAAAAAAAATATATATAAAAGATGTGAGAACTCTGGTCAGAGGTGGTAATCTCTAATTGGATTAGAAAGATATGAATGTGTATAATAAGTAGGGATAGCTCTAAACCATGCCTTGAAGGGAAACTATAGTAACAGGAGAACAAAGTGGTTTTCCTGGCACTATAGCTTCCTCTAGTGCCCCACTCCATCACGGCCACCGTGTAGTGCAGAAGGGGTTAAAGACCTTTTCAGTTTGTGTGATTCCAGTGTCAGTGGCTTGGAGTCTGCCTCTGCTCCTTCTCAGCCGGCTGAGACTCAATGCGCATGGATGCGGTGATGACCGCACTCGCATTAGCGCATGGATGCGGTGATGACCGCACTCGCATTAGCGCATGGATGCGGTGATGACCGCACTCACATTAGTACTTCCACTATAGCAAAACATGTCTAATGCTGTCCTATAGGGTTTTACAAGACCCTGAACATCCTCATGCATAGCAGAGTCAGTTAGGCGACCAAAAGCCTTAAGAAAGAATCTTCTTTTCAAATTTAGTGGGTAATTTACCTCATCTAGAATTAGTTAATCCAAAACAGACTAAATTTATTCTCTTAGATTACATAGATTCTCCTAACTGCAGTACCGATAGTATCCAATTCTACCACATTTAGAGCAAACATAAGCTCAGTCTCATGATGTAGGATTTATTTAAAAAAAAAAACAAAAAAAAAAACCTGTGACTTGTTACAGGAAATCATTGCCTTCTGTTACGAGTGTAACAGCTTAGCAGTTTATCATGACTCATGCATAGTAGGAGATTTAGTTTTAAACATCTGCTTGCTGAGAGATATCGTGAGTTTAAAGGGACACTTCACCAGAACCTCTACAGCTTAGGCTCTATAGCCTGTCCATTTTGTCATTACTGCCTAGTAACACTTCTAGTGGCAGTCACTCAAAATCCACGTTCAGCACCTCCACACACTCCATGGAGACACAGAATGTTCCTCAATGATGCATTGATTCAATGCATCTCTTAAAGAGATGCTGGTTGGCACAACGCGGCGTTTGGCTGCGCATGCACAATAGCCTCCCAATGCGAGAGTATATGATTGGCTGAGATTATCAGGATTATCTTGGACATGGAGATGCAGCCAGCTGTGGCTTGGGGGAAAAAGGTTAGTAAAAACAAAAATGTATTTCAAACTTTTAGGTATACAAAATTACCTTTTTACTTAGATGACAGGGGGCCTGATACCTAAACAGCCACTTCAGTGTTCCTTTATACCTGCCCATTTGAATGAGATAATTGTGTAACAGGGATCGACCGATATTGATTTTTTTAGAGCAGATACCAATAATCTGAACTTTCAGGCCGATAGCCTGTACATTTACCATTTTGAAAAAATAAATGAATTCTAAAGGTAAATGCACAAAATATACATGCCACATGTAGTGAATGCAGTGTGTGTATATAATGCAGTGTGTGTATGGGTATTTGTGTGTAGAGATGTAATTTGTGTAAAATGGGGGAGGAGGGGGGAATTTTATTATTTTAATAACTTTTTATAGTTAAAGGTTTTTTTTCAGTCCCCCCCCTTCTTACCAGGGAGGGGGGACAGTATTCCCTGGTGGTCCGGAGGTGGGCCGCAGCAAGCGCTTACTTACCACCCCAACAGCTCCCATGTCAAATCTTGCGGTCTGCGTACTGAGGAACGTTGCCATGGTAACCCGTGGCAACGCGCTGTTGGACTCTCACTGGGGAGCTGCAAGAGCTGCTGGGAAGGTACGTAACGGCCGGACTTGTAATGGGACGGGCATTCCAAGGAGGTATTATCGTTATCTCTATTGGCTGATATTGCCGAAAACACCGAATATCGGCAGATATCGGTAAAACCAGTAATCAGTCGATCCCTATTGTGTAACATACTTGTTTAACTGCCCAATGTATTTGTCTTGCATACTTTATTAAACCTTTTGTTTGCCTTAATGAAGACTGTCTATTGTACTGCATGTTATTAGATCTGTCGCCTTATTGATCAATTTTATTTAGATTTCTTTAGAATATTGTTCGTGACTGTTTCTGCAATAAATCAGGAATCCTGGTTAATCTGTTCATATAGGATTACCAAGATATCTCCCTATTATCAGATCCCTGCCTGTCCACATAAATGAAATGATTGGACCGATATCTACTTCTGAAAAACCCTTCCCCTTCAGACGGTTAACATATTCCACAATATGCCACCCTCTCCTATAGAGTTTGGTTCTGAGGCCCTGGAACCTGGTGCTTACCTGCAGGGTGTGGAGTTAAATCAAGGTGGTTCTCCTCATCCCCATCTTCTTGCAGAGACTCCTCGTTGAAGGACACATCCTCTGTGCTGGCTTCCATCTCATTGTGCAGAGCTTTGCGCATGTTTAGCGCTACAATGGTATCATCAATATTGTTGAAGTGCTTCTTTTCCTGACTCTGAGGCTTTGAGAAGGGAGGTGGGTAAAAGCTGCCTACTTCGTCATTCTCCCCATCTGTTTCCAGTCTGTGGTTTTCATTTCTGAAATGGAGAATTTAAAGGCCATCAAGGAACTCCCACAGCACATTCATCAGTGGAACATACAATATGATACAGAAACACTTCCATGATGATCTATAGTGCATCGTACAGATACACCAATGTTTAGCTTATGGGTGCAGAATTAACTCACGATATCTGGCCTCAGGCAGACTGAATCCTAGCTCTTATTGATGCTTTCTAGAAATCACAGCTGATATTACAAGAAAACCATAGAGAACAAAAAAAAAAGAAACGAATGCCATTCTACCTGTGTATGATTTACTGAGAAGATTGTAGATTAAAAAGTAACTTTTAATAAATAAATCTAAAATAAAAATATATATAAAAATCCTCCAATCAATTGAGAGCTTATGATTTAAATACTCCTATGTTTGCCAGCATCTGGTTCCCCTCTGATGAGCTTCACTGGCGAAACGTGCACGTCAGGGGCTCTGGACACTTACTGACACATTATTGGTGTCGGCACCTAACTCTCTGCTTATCTATTGCTAAATTACCGACATCAAGTTCATTCATGTCCAGCATCTCAGGAGTGCATATTGGAGACTCTTAACACTAATTTTGTGTACTCTGTACATACTTTATTTCTCTTTCTTTTTCCTTTATTATGTTTATGGGGGGAGATTGATAAGACCAGGCATTTTATTAAGGGGTGCCCTCGAAGGCACAAGACTCAGGAATCTTTATTCTATATGCCTTCCTCTGTCACTGTCTGTATATTTTCTACTACCTAGGCAACCTGTTTAAAACTGTTTGTAAACCCTCTCTTTATACTTTGACCTATTATTTAAATGCAGCTAGCATTTAGGCAACTTATGTGATTTTTTTAACCGGTTAACTGCTGCCTGTCAGCAGTCCTTCACAGGTGAGCTACTATTTTGTGCTCCACTGTGGTCAAGCATAAGTTAACATTCAGTGCAGGCAGTTGTTGTTACACTAGAATATACTGCTAGGTATCTTGCAGAAAAAAAAATTGAGCCAGGTCACCAATCCCTTATTTTATACTTTACTGCTTGACAGCAATCTTTAATTTATTATCAAAATGCTGCTATGATCTAGGCAGCTTTTGTGATATTTAACTGGCTAATCGCCGGTTCTGTCTTAGCTGAAATCTGTCTTAGCTGAACCATTACCTTTGATCTTTCTGAGGTTAAGCACCATAGAACATTACCAATTATTGTATGTGGAGTTAACCCATGTCGTTAGTTGTACCATCATGTAGGGATTTACTTATCCATATCTTTTAACAGCACTGGTTTAGCAGTTGTCTTAGCTCCCCCTCTTGTTACAGTTATTAGTGATATATAATATAGTATCACTTCTATTACTTGGGAATACACTGTTATATTGTAGCTAAACAGTATTGCTTCAGCATTAGTGTTATTATGTATACACTTTTACAGCTTGTATAAGTAGTCACAGAGTTTTACTCACTGTATAGTCTCCATTTACTCCTGCTGTTCATATTTTTTTTTTATATATATTTTTATTTTAGATTTATTTATTAAAAGTTACTTTTTAATCTACAATCTTCTCAGTAAATCATACACAGCTAGAATGGCATTTGTTTTTTTTTGTTTATTCTCCATGATATTCACCATTTAGGGGTTACACCTTTTTTTGTGCCCTCTACCTTGTGATATCTAAATTTTGGCCCTAGGTTAATTCTTTTTGTTTTCCTCGTATAATTACAAGAAAACCACCCTCGTTTTAGACAAGTCGGCTGCATTCGACCATTAAATAGGAAAATTGACAGATGCATTGAGTACCAAATTATTCTGGTTTCCGATTGACTATTTGATTGCATGTCATGACATATCCAGAATGCAATGCAAATGGGCACAGTTGTCAGAATGTAGCACCATATAGAGCAACATCTGCCCATTTCAGTTTTTGTGCTGATGTGTAGCAAACTTTGTTTTAATTAACGATAAAGATAATTACTCTAGCCCAATTCGTTTAGGGAGAGACATGGTGACCACAGATCAGTCTGCTGAAGAGATCTGAGCAGTAAGTGACATTTACCTCTCTCCATTCTCAGCGTAACTAGATGGGGACGCCAACTCCTCGCTCTCTCTGCTCACTGGGGAGTACAGGCTGCTGCTGTTCAGATTTTTCAAGACCAGCTTCTTTATACTCTTCCTATAAAAGAAACATGGCATTGGATAGACTAACAAGAAGAGAGAATATAGCAATAGAAAGGGCTCCGCCACCCCACAAGTTCCTGGATTTAAACCACTGCTGGCGAGTACTCTATACTCGTACAAAGCTCTAACAGGTTAAACTCACCACAATGCAGACTGACTAACACAACCAAACATTCAAAATGACCACCCAGACACCAAAGCTTTGAACACTGGGAATTCATCAATGAATCGGTTAGAGACCCCGTCAATTCTTAAAAGGATGCAAATAACCACATCCTAATTTTTCATAGATGTCGCGCGCCCCCCCTCCCCCCCCTCGAGTTCACCAGGACGACAACCAGTCTGTGCTGGAATTCTAAGAAGTACCACTAAACTACATTAAATACGGCATATTAAAATCTGGCTATTACCCATCTTAAATGAACACCAACATGTATTCCCAACATTAGATAATTTTTCTAACATTTAGATTTAATGATCCACCATACACATGCACCATGCAAATACATATGCACACATGAGCTTTATGCAATTACTTTGGCATGAAGGCTCCATTAGAAAGGGGTGGCTCTTCATCATCAAGTCCATCAAAGAGCTGTGTTTTGGCAGTGCCAGTCTGCAATGCTTTCGGTCTGACTCTGGTTGCGGGACGTGGTGTTAGCTTGTAGTGTGTTGGAGTGGTTAACGCTTTCTGAGCTGCTGGATTGGTCGGTTTCAGGCGCTAGGAAAGAGGCACAAGAGAGATCTTCAACCTGAACAGCTGATAAGTGAATCAATACCAAGCACAATGCCAAACAATGTGCCCTCACCAAAAAAAAAATATAATATTACACAGGTCCATGACTCTTTAGCATAATCTGTTTTTGGGCAGGAAAGCCCTTCTACCAATGGTAGATCGCAGATGTTTTGCCAAAACACTTACCTCTTCCTTCTTCTTTGGGTCAGAAATGGGGTTCCTGAAGAGAGGAGAATCGCCAAATGGAGAGTATGCCAGCGTGTTAATTTGTTGCTGTAGAACAAGCTGTTGGGCGGCTGCTGCATTAGGGTCAGTCAGAGCTGTGAGAAAATCAGAAAATTAAAATTTGAGCAAATGGATGTAAACTATATTTGAGCAGCTAACAAGACACTATTTAGTGATAACAGGTGGCATGTTATTGAACATGTTCTTTTATACCTACGTATTTCCAACATTAAGTAGGGCAAACTAGGGGTTAGTGGCCTCATCTGTCAACTAACAAGTAGAATAGAGAAGAAAAGGTACACTGTCCTCCAGTGTGGCTCTAGAAGACATAGGTCACTGGACCCAGCTGTGCAGTGCCACAAAACCATGATATATAAACTTTAGGATGCCAGTGTAAACAGGAGGCTTTGCAGAACATGCCGCCAGGGTGCAATCTTCACAACACTGGGTCAGAAGACGTTCCATTACTGCACTATGGGACAAGCTCTTGATAGTCACATGATAAGTACTCACCAACAGGGACTTGAGCATTGCCAAGACATGAAGAGGCATTAAATCCTGTGTTTCCAAATGTGCCAGTTCCAAGTGTGCCACTCAGCTTTGGCTGGTTGTTTCCAAACAGGGAAGTCTGTCCAGGGTTCAAAGCTAGGAGAGGGGAACAAGTATCAATAATGGTAAAGTTATCCAATTCCGCTAGTGAGAAATCTGCCCCATAAGGTTTACAGTAAGCCCGCTCAGCACCCAAAATGTGCCCATCCTGCCTACTATCAGAGCAACATCGTTCAGTAAAGAGAACAGGAACCCTAGAGTCAGGCATTGCAAAAATTAGGTCCATAACATGTTACCAGTTACACGACCCTCCAAGCTCTGTTCGGTCTCTTTACCCATTTGCTCTGGTTGGGGACACTTCCCCAAGCATGGCAAACCTACAGGACGCCGACACACTGGTTTTGTTGCCAGCATCTGAACGGACTATAAATGAGTCACTCCGTTCATATACTCCCGAGCCAGTGCTAGGGAGTTACCATAGCAACCACAGAACATGCACGGTGGTTGCTGTGGTTGGTCTCTTCTGCTCTCCTTTATCAATCAATTCCTTGATACAGAGTCTATGCCAAAGAATTGATTGACAGGTTGGAGAAGCTATTTTATTCCCCACTTTACCTGTTCCAAATCCTGTCCCAAGTCCAGTGCCAAGAGTGCCAGTGGCGGGCTTATTGCTGAAGAGACCTGTCCCAGTATTGTTTGATCCAAATCCTTCACACAAAAAAAAATAAAATGAGTTGGTTTATGCTGTGTGTTGTACCCGAGGGGTCATTGAACATTTCTACCTATTCCCTGATTATCACAAGCACTGTGAACTCTAAGGATTTGTTGATAAATAATTATTTTCAGACAGTTTCATGCAGTCTGGTTACCAAAATATAAGACGGCTTAAAAAATATTTTTATTTATTTTTTTTTTAACACTAACTAAAAAAGTGTTGAGAATTGTTAAAAGTGTATAGCTAGGTCAGTTTAGCCAGATTCAACAACTGACAATGCTAGCTGTTCTAGGCTTGCAGAAAACTGCAATCACCTTGTTAATCATCTAGAATTCCAAATTTATTTTCCACAATAAGCCCCAGCTTAGCACGATTTGCCTCCTACATATATAAAAAAATAAAAATAAAAAATAATCGATATCTGAGCAGCCCTGGGAAAAGCCATTAATGACTGCCTGAAGATTGGGATTGGACAATTACCAGCAAGGATGAGACTTGTTCTTTTAACAATCTGACCATAAGCATTTATTTAGTTACTATTCCACACCTACTACCTAAAGAGCCTTTATGAGAAATAAACCAACTTAAGAGCTTATAATGTCAGAAAGGTGGCAGTGTCTTCTAATACACTGTGTATACCACAAGAAGGAAGGGGACACTCACAGTACGTGGGAGGTGAGGGGGGGCGGGGGGAAATCATGCAGGTTAAGGTGTACAACAGGATTATTTTCAAACTGTTGTAAAACTGCTATTACAGCAGGCCATATACTAGGTGCTCCTAATACAAATGGAAAAACACAGGCCTAACAAGTGCAGTCATGCTGGACTCACAGGAAGCTGGCTTTAAATCTACACTATGAGAGAATCTATTCACACGGACATAGAAAGGGTGTTCTCTAGCCACGCAGGCCGGAAAGGACACATGGTATACACAGTGTAGTGGTTCCAAATTAAACCATTGCTTTTGGGTTTCTCTCTCATATGTACCAAAATTAGAAGCATTTGTATTGGTTCCTAAAGTCAGGGTTGGTTTGTTACCGAAGAGCCCGCCGGTATTTGTGCCAAATGCAGGAGCACTGGTCGTGGTAGTCCCGAACCCAGCAGGTTTGTTACTAAACAGAGTCTGTAAGAAAAGAATGTATGTTTAAAAAGCATACCAACGCAAATTTACAGAAATATACCTAGCACTGGCACTTTAATTCTACAAAAGAGCAATGGACAAGAATAAGTGGTATTAACATGTGCGCGCGCACAAAAAACCCAAAAAAGTATTAAACAATAAAGGGAATTTAAATCAGTCCACAAGTTAGGTTGTAATGATAGATAACCAATAATTTATCTCCACGTGGTCTGAGACTGTTCGGCTAGATGTTAATCCAGCAGTAAAGCAGATTTAATACTAAACAGTCACATTGCTCGGAGCTTGCATTTAGGTTTACTGTCCATTAAGTTGGAACAAAGTAACAATTGGAAACGGTCAGTGCAGTGGTCACAGAAAGAGAACATGATTAAGCAGATTTATACAGGCCAGCAATACTGAGCTATAAGAAGTCTTCAGGACATGAACGTTCCTACATACCGAACTGCCTACACCACCAAATGGAGTAGTATTAGTTGGTCCAAATAAGCCGCTCCCAGTACCAAAGGCAGTGCCAGCATTTGTGTTTGTTGTAGTTCCAAACAGACCAGCAGACTGTGTGGCTTGAGTGGTTCCAAAGAGACCCTAGAAGAGTGTATAATTTATACAAAAGGAATTATTTACAAGGGAAACATTGACTGGGTAGAGGTTGCAGAATTAGTCAGGCAAGTCAATTAGGTCCAAAGTGAGAACTGGGACAGAAAAAAAAAAAAAAAATATACACATACACACACACACTGTGAGTTCCATTGGGATGTCACAATACAATACTCACCATAGGGTTAGGCTGGGGCTGACCCAGAGTATTTGTGTTTCCAAACGAGAAGCCAGTACTGGGCGTTGTTGTTGCTGCTCCAAAGGGTTTGTTAAACAAACTGGTAGCTGGCTGACTGGCTGTTGCTCCAAAGAGGCCTCCCGTGCTTGCTCCAAAACCACTCGCACCTGTAAGAAAGTAAAGGCCATTAAAATCAGATCGCCATATAAAATGGAATACTTATAACATTAAAGGATAATTAGGGTTATGTTTCTAGATATTTAACTACTGAAGGACAGAGAATTATCCTAACTCAGAACTAAAAGCTTGAGTTTAAGCTATAGATTTGTTCCACCATAAAGTGTTTTTCTTCAAGCATTCCCCATACACGTTTTATTTTTAGAGACAAATGGCTTTAATTTGATATCCTAACATTAAGTGTTAAAATGTTACAAATGGGAATAAAGTGAGGGGTGGGGTGTACAATTTTTTTTCCAAAGTTTACACATTAGTGCAACAAACTCAAAAGAATATATCAGTCTGGGCTGTTAAATACCACAATGTGTTTAGGATCGAAATGAATCCGATAGTCAACGCTAACGCTATACTAACCATATCACTTACCTAAGGTTTGCAAAAACTGTACGCAACCTTTAATTTTACTCGTATCCCTAACACTATTCTCAACTCTAAAACAGTAGAGTACCAACACTAACCCTACAGCTAATCTTATCTCCACCACTAACCCTCCGGTAAATCTCTGCCAATATCAATTCTGAAATTAGAAAGTGGGTTTTCTATTTAACCCAGTAGATAGTGGTCTATGAACGCCATCTACTGACCATTATCATAATTACATTCAGTGTAATTATCAATGGAGTTCTGTTTCCCCAATCAATCACATTGATAGGACTGGGCAGCTTGCAAAGCCCAGCACCAATTACAATGTGAACAGGGATTTAACCCTGCTCACACCAAACAGGTACCTGCTCGCGTCAAATACCTACATGAACAGACCAGGATGTCCTGCAAATCTTCATTAATTTTAACATAGGGCACAACCAGAAGAGCAGGTGGAATACATACTAGTGCCAAATGTGTTTTTGTTTCCACCAAACGAGAAGCTGGTGTTGGCTGTGGAACCAAACAGCCCTGTTGATGCACTTGATGTTGCCGTTGAAGCTCCAAACAGTCCTGTTCCTGTTGCAGCTCCCACTGGATTCTGGGGTCCTTTCCTGTTGGCCTGATAATCTTCAAGACGCAGCTCCTGTAGACGTCACAAGATATACATGACTACAAAGTAAATGGAATACTCTGCACATTTTCAAAATGTTATATTTATCTTAGACATTAAGTTTATCATTAGGACAATTGTTAAACCAGGTTTTAAGGTCCTAAACATGAAAATCTTCTCACATAACCTAACCGAATGAGAGACTTACCTCCAAGGACTTGCTCTCGTATTCTTTCATAGCTGTAATACATTGATGCTTTGTACTGATATTGGTGGTAACACCTCCTTTGGCCATGGTGTCTGTACCAGCAGGGGGCTGCAGGAAAATGGTAACAATTCAGTATCCGATTCAGTTTGATTTTTGAATTAAAATTCTTATAACCAGAACTGGTTTACAAATAGATTGTGATTTGCCAAGTTTAGAAACTCATGCTGTGACAAAAAAACTGGGTTCCCATATAGAAACATTGGAAGACTAGTACACATGCGTGGGAAAATGAGATGCTGCGCAAATCAAGAGGAGACCTATACGTGAACATCTAATTGAAAAGCAGTTGGGGAGACGCAAGACTCAAGCACGAGAAGCCTTAAGTCACACGATTCCTTCCCTAACACACCTCTAAAATGACTGCTTTTAACTTACATTAAATTTAACTGTGGTTCCAGTTGGTGCGGCTGTAAAAGTACTAGCCCCAAAGAGGGAACTGGAGTTTCCGCCAAAAGGGTTTGAAGTGGTGTTTGTGTTTCCAAAGAGACCGCCACTGCTTGTACTGGTCCCAAAATCTAAAGAAAAAGACAGCAAAGATTATAAGAATTGCACAAATTACTTGAATGACAGGTTTTCAAAATATCCAGTAGACATGCAGATGACAAAGGTGTCACTCACTGCCAAAGGTAGCAGGCTTGGTCTGTCCAAATGCATTGTTTTGAGATGAGAAGAGGCCTCCTCCAGTGTTTGTTGAACCAAATAGGCTGTTTGTAGTACCGGTGGATGTACCAAAACCAAATCCTGCGCTTGTGGAGGATGTTGCTGGCTGGTTAAATGTAGTTGAGCCAAACAGTCCTCCTGGGAAGGGGGAAATAAAGGGAGACAGTTTGGTGACCAAGCAAAGTAACTGCTCTTGATGGCCGCGTAAGGCAGAGTGATTACTAGAGATACATTCAATTATTGTTCTTCCAGATGTTTAGGAGGTGGTTTGGGTTGTGCACAATCATCCATTCATGATCATAAAGTCACTAGAGGTCATACTGCAGAGGCCAAACGATGCACATGCTGCAAGAAGGCAAAAACTGCACAAAGCAAGTAGTTTCAGAGATCAGATTTGGAGGACAAATCCCCAGGCACAATGCTTAAACATCAGGTGATCTATTAAACAGCTGCATGTCATCCATCACAAACTCAGCCTAAATTGTCCTATTAGTAGGCACCAATAAAGAACATTATATAGTCACCCAGATTACTTATTCTCATTGAAGTGGTCTGGGTGCAGTGTCCCGGTCCTTTTAACCCTGAAATGTAAAATGTTTACACTGCATGGTTAGGTCTCATACTGACAGCCAATAGAGACTTCTGCTGCACTCACCCTATGGGAAAGTTTGAATGCGCATTAAAGGGAATCTATAGTGCTAGGAAAACAACGTTGCTTTCCTGGCACCAGAGCTTCCTATAGTGGCCCTCCTGTGGTGCAGAAAACCCCTTCTGTCAATTACCCGAGTAAAGCACCGATGTCCGTCGGCACTGGCTTGATGTCCGCCAGGGACAATTAATGCACATGCGTGGCAACGGCCGCACTCACATTAGTGATTCCCCATAGAAATGCATTATACAATATGGGGCGTTTCAGGTCATGGACATCTTCATGCACAGTGTGAGGACGTCAAGCAACCAAAAGTAGTCTGCCAGACAGCCACTAGAGGGAAGTCCGGATGCTTAGAGTTAACTCTGCAAGGTAGTTATTGCAGTTTCTCAATAACTTTGCAGGGTTAAGGGAACTGGGACACAGTGAGCTGATGTTCTCTGGGTGCCTATAGTGTCCCTTTAAGTCCCCAGTGCTCCACTATGAGGAAGCCTCAACACTGGAAAAAGGTATGTAAATATTTGACTTTTTGAGGTGAGGGACCTATTTCTGACAAGGGACAGGGAAAGGATTAGGAATACATGTTTGTAATCCTAATACTGTAGTGCTTCTTTAAGGATTGCATTGGAATGTTATTAATTTCTTGTTAATTTTATTAGGGGGAGAGGGGGTTGGTGGAGCCAGGACTGTGCACTCCCATTAGGTGTCTCCTCTTTTCTGTTTCTTTAAACACCAATCACAAGATGCTGAAAGACCAGACCATTCATTCACTGTTAGTCAATCACAGTCAGAAATGTATAGCAACCTACCTGGTTTGTTCTGCGTGTTCCCAAACAGGCCTCCACTGTTATTGTTTGTGCCAAAAGCTGTTGTTCCAAAGCCCGTAGTGGGAGTTGTGCCAAATCCAGCTGCTGCCAGAACGAAAATAAGAGAAAAATTGGGGATTTGTATTTCATGTGTTTCAAGATTCTTTAAACATGACAAGCATGTTCAGTGTGCTTTGAATTGTTAGGATAGGGAATAAAGAGAGGACTAATAGAAATCAATGCATATTTAGATATTGGCATTAGGTTAACACTGCCACAGACATGTTTTACAGAAACCTATAGGCTGCTTATTGACATGCAATCCATACACCTGATACATACCACACTGCTTCTAAACACTTACTTTGTCCAAATGTTGATGTGGCTCCAAATGCACTAGTACCCCCTCCAAACGGACTTCCAAACGATTTATTAAACATCTTCCCAGGAGTGTCAAGACTTCATATAACTAAAACTATGAAGCAAATTAAAAAGCATTAGAAAGTTGAGTAAAATATGTGAGGTTCAAAATGAAACATTTGCTTAAGAAAACAGTCTTGCACATGTGGCATGGCCAATGCCTTGTTGGAGGCTGGCTCATGCCCTGTGCAGAGAAGTGGGCACCAAGTTCTGGTACAAAACTGCCAAATGCCGGAATCTTACCAACAAGGCTGACAAGCACAGAACGCAAGCAAACACTACAAACCAGCCAGCAACCTGAACCACAGCCCTAATATGAGAACTAGACCAGCAGCAATTCAGGACAGATTCATATTCTTGGGACTCAGATACACATCTATTGGGATAGGCATCTATGGGCCACATTTAAGGGACAATAGAGTCACAAAGACAACTTTAGCGTATAGATCATGACCCTTCAATCACACTGCTCAATTTGTTTATACAGTCCCAGCCACACCTACCTAAACAAGTCCAGTATAGAGAGGTTTTAAAGGACCACTGTAGGCACCCAGACCACTTCAGCTCAATGAAGTGGTCTGGGTGCAAGGTCCATCTAGGGTTAACCCTGCCTGCTGTAAACATAGCAGTTTCAGGGAAACTGCTATGTTTACATTAGGGTTAATCCAGCCTCTAGTGGCTGTCTCATTGACAGCCGCTAGAGGCGCTTCTCACTGATTTTCACAGTGAGAAGAGGCTGCCGTCCATAGGAAACCATTGAGTAATGCTTTCCCATGGTCTGATTGAATGCGCGCGCTGCTCTTGACTCTCATTCGGTGGATGACATCGGAAGAGGGAGGAGAGTTTAACCCCTTAACCCCTCTTGAGCCCAGCGGGGGGAGGGGGGGACCTATTAACACTATGGTGCCAAGAAAACAAGCTTTCTGGCACTATAGTGGTCCTTTAAGTTTCCTTGATTGCACAGTCTGTTTAATTTAGAATTAATTTTCTCTGAAAAGTCTGACAGAGCCAGCAGGAGCCTCTTGTTTGTGTTTAAAGTTTAATTTACAGAGCAGGAGATTAAAACAATTTAAAGTTAACATCTGGAAAGAAAACTATTCATGCAGGCTCTCAGGTAGGTGTGGCTAGGGCTGCATGAACAGAAAGGAAAGTGATTTAACTCCGAAATGGCAGATATTTGAGAAGCAAGACTGCAGGGGCGTGATCTATACACCAAAACTGATTCATTCAAGTTACTATATTTAGCAGACCCACTACAACATAATGTAGTGGTTCTGGAGTCTATAGCATGTCCCAGCAGGTCTGCAGTCTTTGCAAGCTTTATTTCCCTATACTCCCAGAGAAAACACATGCATGCTTTCTTGGTGAAATATATACTATAAATTTATATATAAATTTTTAAGAGAGTGTTCCTTTAATACTTTAACGGATTACTATAGGTATATTTTAATTGGATAAAAAAGGAAGTTTTGCGCACACGTTGGAAAATGTGATAATCTAACATAAATAGCTATCATAGGGTAATATGTAACCAATACTATGTATATTTAGTAGTAACTGGAAACACTCACAATTTAGAGAGCCATATGAGTCGGCTCTCTACTTGTAAAAACCTGTCGAATAATTCCAGGCAGAGCTGTATACCAACTGGTCCCACCAGGTGCAGATAAGGGATATCGTCTGGATACAGTCAGGAACTCAAAGTAAGTATAAAAATCTTTTATTCCAATAAAGATATTTTTAAAATTTAAGCATAACGCGTTTCGACCATATCATTGGTCTTCCTCAGATGCAATGAACAATAAATCACGAACAAGTGCGCGAGTCACATGATCGGCAGCAACCTGAGCAGTAAGCTCACATATCCTCCAAAGAAGGTCATAATAGAAAGTATAAGGACTATGAGGACGCCATATTGGGAGGGGAAAATGACCCGGAAAACCCTTATATGGTCAAAAAGGGCGGATTGTGCATTTAACCACCATATGTATGTAATGTTTAAATTATATGTGCATTATAAAAGTATGTTATTGTGATTTATTGTTCATTGCATCTGAGGAAGACCAATGATATGGTCGAAACGCGTTATGCTTAAATTTTAAAAATATCTTTATTGGAATAAAAGATTTTTATACTTACTTTGAGTTCCTGACTGTATCCAGACGATATCCCTTATCTGCACCTGGTGGGACCAGTTGGTATACAGCTCTGCCTGGAATTATTCGACAGGTTTTTACAAGTAGAGAGCCGACTCATATGGCTCTCTAAATTGTGAGTGTTTCCAGTTACTACTAAATATACATAGTATTGGTTACATATTACCCTATGATAGCTATTTATGTTACAGATTATCACATTTTCCAACGTGTGCACAAAACTTCCTTTTTTATCCAATTTTGTACATGTAAGTGTTTTGTAAGGTGACTGCAACACTGGTTTGTTTTTTGCTGCACTGGGATTTATATATAATCACTTAGTGCCATTTCACCTCTTTTTTTCTTGTTTATAGGTATATTTTAGCTTAAAGGAACACTACAAACCTTGCACAAATTGTGCTGAATAGGCTTGCCTCCATGGCGAGAACATCAAACTCACATCGCCATTTAGCATCTTCTCAGAGATGTATTGAATGCATCTCAATGAGGAACGTTCAGTGTCTCCAGAATAAAAAAGTTAGCCAACCAGAAACTCTTGGCTAATGACTGATGGAGATTTAGTTAGTTAAACTCTGGCAGGGTTATATCTCTGTATTTATAGTATCTCATAGTGAAACGCTGCAAATGCAGACTCCAAGCACCACAACTCACTAAAGTGATCATGGTGATTGGAGTAATACTTCAAATGATTTCCCCTGCCACATAGTTTGTTAGCAGTTTAGTATATATACCCCAGTGAAAACATGCATGGGTTTAATAATGCATTTCCTTATTGGGGGTATATCTACGAAAGACGCACACTTTACACCTGAAGCACTTCATTAAGTAACGCATCTAATGGTTTAAAAAAAAAAGTTTTTGATAAAGTGTATATAAGAAAACATTCTAGAGGCAAACCATTCACCATCAAGGGTCTTTAATTTTAACATTGTTTACAGAACAAAGTAAAAGCAGACATTCCTACAACAAGCATGCAATGTGCTTCTGGAAGTGATCAATGCTTATCATGTGACATGGTGCTTTAATTTTAAGTCAATATTTACTGTACACACATCACTTTACTATGCTGTATACATAAAGCAGGGGCATTCTTCACTCTTTCTGAAATGGTCTTCCCTACTGCCTGTACAATTCATATGCTGCAGGCGAATCTAAAGAATCAATGAAAGGCTCAACTATCTGAATTAATGATGCAAACAAAACCGTTATTCAATTAAAGGGACAATAGGCAACATAACCACTAATGAGCTCTAACAGCTAAAGTGTCAGGAGTACCGTAACAGAGATTTTATGTCAGGACATGTAGATTTGGCTTCCACTTGAGTACCTTGGACAAGTATTCCTTTAAAACACACAGTATCTATGTAGCGTTACCCTATTCAGCAGAGCTTTACAATATTATAAAAAGGAGTATTTACAAGTGAAAACTAATTTTACTCACCGTAAATTCCTTTTTCCTTAATATGGTGGCAGTACAATAGGGATGCACTCTTCCCTCGGGACAAGCATCTGAAATTATTAACATAAAAAGTACCTCCCCTTACCAGGTATAAGAGACCCAACCAGCCCAGGGACCTCAGTACATACCAAGAACACCTCAGTGAATCCATAGAACACCCAAATTTAATATATATACATACACACATAAAAGGGAGGGAGTGATGTGCTGCCACCATATTAAGGAAAAAGGAATTAACGTTGTGTAAAATGACAGTTTTTCCTGACATATGGCGGCAGTACAATTGGGATATTTCAAGATCCCATACCAAAGGCAGGAATTTAGGCAACAGCTTGTAACACCTTGTGCCCAGCTTTAGAGGCAGAGAATACGTCTAACCTGTAACGCTTGACAAAAAGGTGTTGAAAGAAGACCAGGTAGCCGCCTTGCATATATCTTCCGGAGATGCACACGCTTTTTCGGCCCAAGAGGCAGCAATGGCTCTAGTAGAATGTGCTTTAAAGGAGGCAGGCAGAGATAGATTCGAGGAAGAATAAGCCAATTTAATAGTATCCACCAGCCATCTAGCTAAAGTGGCCTTGGAGACAGCTTGGCCTTTAAATTTTCCAAAGAAATTCATGAATAGATGATCAGTCATCCTATACGTAGAGGAGTGGTCCAAGTAGATTTTCAGAGACCTACCCACATCTAGTTGGCTACAATCAAATTTCCAATCTAGCATAGATGGACAATTAAAGGAAGGAAGAAAAATAGGTTGGTTGATAACCTTGGAGAAGATGACGTTCGGAAGAAAGGAAGGCTTAGGGTACATAACCACTTTATCCGGAAGAAATTTTGTAAAGTCAGGAGAGGAAGAAAGGGCCTGGAGTTCCCCTATCCTCCTAACCGAAGTAATGGCCACCAAAAACAGTTTTCAGGGACAGATTCTTCAATGAAGCTTCTTCCAAAGGTTCGAAAGGCTCAGTACACAGATTTCAAAACTAAAAACAAATCCCAAGAGGGAAAACCGATTTTCTTAGGAGGCTTTACGAGTCTAACAGCAAAAAAAAAAAAAAAAAAAACACTAATGAGAGGATCAGAAGCCCAATTTACCAAACAATTACTGAGAGCGGAAACTTGGACTTTGAGGGTACAGACTAAAACCTTGAGCAAAACCATCTTGCAAAAAATACACCAGTGAAGAAATCTCATCCAAATTTTTAAGTAGATAGAGGAGGTAGAGCTTCTGGTAGAATTTAACAGTAACTGAAACCTCTTTAATGCCCCTATTATGCAGAATTAGCAGTGCAGCAGCCAAGCCGTCAACCTGAACATGTTCAATTCCCTTGTTTTCCAGAATATCCGGTGTTAACGGGAGAATCCGGTACTTTAAAGCCATCTTTAAATTTCTGGATTGAGAGACCACTCGTTCTGGGACCATTTTGATCTGCTTAAAATCGTCCGCTACCACGTTGTCTACTCCTCGAATGTAAATGGCGGAAATGTCGTGTAGATGACTGAGCCCTGGACATAATTCGTGAGCAAAGGAAATACAATTCTTTTTACTCTTGTACCGCCTTGTTTGTTTAGGTAGGAGACTATTCTGATTGTCCGACTGGATCTTTACAGCTTTTCCTATAAATGAAATCCTTGAACTGCTGAAGAGCATAGAGAACTGCCAACAACTCCCTGAAATTTGAAGATTCCTTTTTTCAACCAAGCACCTTGTCTTAAGTTTTGGAAGAGACCATTTTCCAAAGTGTTATGCCAAAGATTCTGAGCGCTCACCACTAAAGCCCCGGCTAATGCTGCTTTAGCCTGAAAACCTGCAGCCTGATCAGCCCTTCTGCTGGAAGTTTCAGCCCTCTTATCCATAGGGTCTATCAGACCAGAAACTTCACCAATAGGTATGGTAGGTTTTTTTTTTTTTTTTTAGACAATTGAGCCACTTGTACATCAGCGACCGGCAATTCTTCCCATTTTTCTTCCTCCTCTATTTTAACAATACTTTTAAAATGTCTGGAGACAAAAGCCTTTTTCTCAGGGTTCTTCCATTCTCTGAATATTAAATCCAGCCTTTTTTGTTGGACTGGAAGTGTTTTACCCTTGGATTTATCTACAGTTTCATCAAAAAGGATAACATTAACCTCTTTAATAAAATTCTCAACTCCTCATGAGGAAAACCAACCTCAGTAAGAGTCGCTAGGATTCTGAATAAGAAAAAGAACATTCACCCGAGGATAGTTCTGAACTAGACTGAGTTCTCTTCCTTTTAGACTTCTGTTTAGTAGCTTTTACAGGAGAAGTGTGAGCAGCCTCTTTAAAAGACTCAATAGTCTGGGCCAGATTATCCTGAAACCAAGACAAAGTGTCAAGGAAGAGCAAACATTACAGACATTCCTTTTAAAACCATCTGGCAAAGGAGTAGAGCATTCACTACAGAGATGTTTAGCTTTGGAACTGGCTTTTTTAGAAGCAGGTGTAGGCACTTTGCCTTTATCCATATTATCAGTAGGGACAGGACAGGACTAGACATATCTGTAAAAACTAGAGAGTCTAAAGAATCATCCCTCTAAAACATCTGACCCGCGTGTGTGTGTGTGTGTGTGGGGGTTGGTGACACGGGAGACCTTCACTGCCGAGCATCCATGCTGACAGGAAGATCTGCACAGCATAAATAGGAAGATCCGCTTTAAATTTGGCTGTTTCGGGGAGTTCAGATCGCGCGGTCGGAACGCCGGTGGAACGCCAAACCACCCGGACGTGCGTTCAACCGCCATGCGCATGGGTCTCCAACGGGCGGTGATTTGCTGCCACTAGAGACCGCCTCCCTGCTTTACCGGTGACTGCACTCGGCATAAAATCAGGCTTACATACCTGCTCCGTAATCTGCAGGATGTTTGCTGGCCATTCAGCTCTCCACCCGGGAGGCTATCAGACCGGATCCCCCTGGCAGCAACCCATGTGCCTCACCATCCACATTCCAGATGCCGTCCGTTCCTGTTGGAACAAGAAATAACTGAGGTCCCTGGGCTGGTTGGGTCTCATACCTGGTAAGGGGAGGTACTTTTTATGTTATTTATACCAGATGCTTGTCCCGAGGGAAGAGTACATCCCCTATTGTACTGCCACCATATGTCAGGAAAAAACTATTACAAATATTTATAGTAACAATAGGCCTATTAGGAAACTGCCTGAACAAGCTTGCAATCTACAGGAGGGGGGGTAACAATGAAGTGACAGGGTGGGACAGTAGCAGAATTGGAATAAGCAAGTGTTCTTTGTTCCCCACGTCGCACCAGTCTCACCACAACTAGCTCTGCCTCCATGGCAGAGTTCAAACTTTATCATCTCTGCCAATCAGCATCTCCTCATAGAGATGCACTGAACACCTACAGGTGTTACTGGGCAGAAATGTAAGCACCACCTTTTCTCTGAAAAGACAGGCTCTAAACACCAGACTAACTACATTAAGCTGTAGTGGTTCTGGTGACTATAGTGCCCTTTTAAATTGTATAAACCTTTTGAATTCTAGTTACTACAGGGCAATCCTTTTCATTTGCTGCCTATCAAGACATATGTGATATGTTACCCCAAAAACATGGTGGATCTGGGAACCCCACTTTAGAGACTTCTTAAGGGAGAAAGGACTGGGGCAAAGACTCATGGGAACTACTGTCTGAATTGGATATGGCTGTGCATTAACAAATCCATCAAGCTGAACAAGGCGAACAATCACTACATAGAAACACAGAAAGTTACGGCAGATAACCATTCGGCCCATCTAGTCTACCCAATTTTCTAAATACAGTTATTAGTCCCTAGCCTTATCTTATAGCTAGGACAGCCTTGTGCCTATCCCACGCATGCTTAAACTCCTTTACTGTGTTAACCTCTACCACTTCAGCTGGAAGGCTATTCCATGCATCCACTACCCTCTCAGTAAAGTAATTTCAGATATTTTTAAACCTTTGCCCCTCTAATTTAAGACTATGTCCTCTTGTTGTGGTAGTTTTTCTTCTTTTAAATATAGTCTCCTCCACTCTGTCGAATCCATTTATGTATTTAAATGTTTCTATCATATCCCCCCGTCTCGTCTTTCCTCCAAGCTATACATGTTAAGATCCTTTAACCTTTCCTTGTAAATGTTATCCTGCAGTCCATAAACCAGTTTAGTAGCTGTGACGAAAATAACCTCGTCACTGGCTTTTGAAGGGGCCAGTTTGCCAGCCTCCTACCCTGTGATTATGGTCCCTGTGTTAAATCCTGGTTAAACCCACCGTGTGTGCCATTTTGTACTTGTATGGCCACACTTAGAACTGGCACTTTGAATTACCAAACAACCGCACCAACCAGAGATCACCCTGGAGCTTAACACCTATTAACAACTCACCGCAGTGTTCTAATTGTTCGTCTGGGTAGCTGCAATTTCTATGGACAACCACAAGGTGGCGGCCATCTTGTTCGCAAGAACGCAGGCAGCGGTGTTTGGGCATAAATCTCATGGAACTAAAATCTGCTACAAATTCCCAAACACCGCTGGACTTCCATCATCGCCTGCGTTAGTTTCTATACAACTTAGAAGGGCACTGTTCGGTGAGATAATTCGTCTGGATGAGGGAAACCAGCTCCAGGGTAAGACTATTTACTCTGTTCGGTAGTTTGTTATCTCTGGAACTGTTTTAAGCATGGGACCATGTCTGCGGTTGTTCAAATAAATGACTTCCAGGAAATTCCTGAACCCCTGAAATGATCCCATTTGTAGGGTTTTATGTATTTTTGGGGTGTTTTAAAGTATGTTTTTTCTGTTATCTGAGATTGTGTCGAAAGTAACCTCGCCACTGGTTATTGGAGGTGTCTGTTTACCAGCCCCCTACCCTTTGACTATGGTCCCTGTATTAAACCTTGGTTGAAAACACTATGTGCCTGTTGGGACTTGTAACAGGAACAATTCTAACTTTCGAAGTAGCACTTCGAACTCCCGAAGCCATTCGAACACGTCTCTGCAGTTTAGTTAAACGCATCCAGCGGTGTTTCGTCATGGAGTGCATGGAACTCAAATCAGCCACGAACACCGCTGAGTATCTACCTGCCGTGGATGTTCAGCTATTCGAACAGTAGTCAAATGGCATTAAGTAAGAAGAAACTCCCGAACAAGAAACATACACTGACTTTATTCACGAAAAGCTACGTTCGGTATTTTGAACGTTAATTCAAATCCTCGAAGTAGACCGGCCGCACAGCCTGATTCTCTAGAACCGTTTTGAGCATGAAGCCATGCCTGCGGTCAAAATAAGACTTCCATAGAATTCCTGAACCCCGTAATAAATATAAAAAAAATAAATAAAGATTGTGTGTTTTGGGGGTTCTTTTGAGGTTTTGCAAATGTGTTTTTTCTGCCTGGAGATAATTGGGTTAATACAGTATCTGACTCAATTATCTCCCAGGCAGAGGGGAGGGACTGTATGCCATGTGTCGGAGTGCCTTACATTGTAAATGTGCTATTATTGGTTTGTGTCCCTGTCCCCCAACAAGGTCCATGTGGGCGTACCCCTTGCTTGGGGAGTGGCATAAAAAAGGACAGAACTCAATGGTGAGGGCCTCCCCATACTACCCCCCGGTCTGTCAGTGAGGGCCTCCCCCCGGTCTCTCCATGCTGCCCCCCGGTCTGTCAGTGAGGGCCTCCCCCCGGTCTCTCCATGCTGCCCCCCGGTCTGTCAGTGAGGGCCTCCCCCCGGTCTCTCCATACTGCCCCCGGTCTGTGAAGGCCTCGCTCCCGGTGTGGGGTAGAGCAGCCGCCGTTGTTCCTTTCTCCCCCCTTCCCGCGCTCTCGCTCTCCGCCTCCCCCCTTTTCCCGCTCTCCGCCTTTCCCGCGCTCTCTCTCGGTCGGTCACTTACCGGTTGCCGCGCTCCGTACAGGCCGCAGGCGGAAAGCCAACTGCGTCATCAAACAATATGGCGCCCGCGTCAGGCGCATTACATCCAGCGGACACGCCCCCGCAGCTCAGAGCCGAGCTCCGATTGATGGAAGGAACTGTCACTCACAGACTGGGAGGAGCGATAGCGTTTCAAATTGCGTAAACTCTTGGTAGGCGGATCTTAATGATTTCTCCTCCTCCGATTGGTTCCCGCCATGCCAGGCCTATTGTTATTGGTGGAAAAGCGACATCAGTCAAAACGCCTCAAGGTACAGTATCCTAGCAACGAGCCGCACTGTATCAACAAGACTGGTCCTGACAGGATAAACCAGTGACGTCACACAGATTACCCAATAACCTCAGATCACCTGAAATATTGTTACAATGTATCCAGCAAATTCTGCCCAATAATAATAATAATATATAATATGATATAATGTTACAATGTATCCAGCAAGTTCTGCCCTATAATAATAATAATAATAATATATAATAATAATATAATATAATGTTACAATGTATCCAGCAAGTTCTGCCCAATAATAATAATAATAATAATAATAATAATATATAATGTTAAAATGTATCCAGCAAGTTCTGCCCTATACTAATAATAATAATAATAATAATAATAATAATAATATATAATGTTACAATGTATCCAGCAAGTTCTGCCCAATAATAATAATAATAATAATAATATATAATGTTACAATGTATCCAGCAAGTTCTGCCCAATAATAATAATAATAATAATAATAATATATAATGTTACAATGTATCCAGCAAGTTCTGCCCAATAATAATAATAATAATAATAATATATAATGTTACAATGTATCCAGCAAGTTCTGCCCTATAATAATAATAATAATAATAATAATAATAATATATAATGTTACAATGTATCCAGCAAGTTCTGCCCAATAATAATAATAATAATAATAATAATAATAATAATAATAATAATATATAATGTTACAATGTATCCAGAAACTTCTGCCCTATAATAATAATGTTACAATGTATCCAGCAAGTTCTGCCCTATAATAATAATAATATATAATGTTACAATGTATCCCGCAGGTTCTGCCCTATAATAATAATAATAATAATAATATATAATATTATATAATGTTACAATGTATCCAGCAAGTTCTGCCCAATAATAATAATAATAATATATAATAATATATAATGTTAAAATGTATCCAGCAAGTTCTGCCCTATACTAATAATAATAATAATAATAATAATATAATGTAATGTTACAATGTATCCAGCAAGTTCTGCCCAATAATAATAATAATAATAATAATAATATATAATAATATATAATGTTAAAATGTATCCAGCAAGTTCTGCCCTATACTAATAATAATAATAATAATAATAATAATATAATATAATGTTACAATGTATCCAACAAGTTCTGCCCTAATAATAATAATAATAATAATATATAATAATATATAATGTTAAAATGTATCCAGCAAGTTCTGCCCTATACTAATAATAATAATAATAATAATAATAATATAATATAATGTTACAATGTATCCAGCAAGTTCTGCCCTATAATAATAATAATAATAATAATATATAATAATAATATAATATAATGTTACAATGTATCCAGCAAGTTCTGCCCAATAATAATAATAATAATAATAATAATAATAATAATAATAATAATAATAATATATAATGTTAAAATGTATCCAGCAAGTTCTGCCCTATACTAATAATAATAATAATAATAATATAATATAATGTTACAATGTATCCAGCAAGTTCTGCCCTATAATAATAATAATAATAATAATAATAATAATATATAATGTTACAATGTATCCAGCAAGTTCTGCCCAATAATAATAATAATAATAATAATAATAATAATAATAATAATAATATATAATGTTACAATGTATCCAGAAACTTCTGCCCTATAATAATAATGTTACAATGTATCCAGCAAGTTCTGCCCTATAATAATAATAATATATAATGTTACAATGTATCCCGCAGGTTCTGCCCTATAATAATAATAATAATAATAATATATAATATTATATAATGTTACAATGTATCCAGCAAGTTCTGCCCAATAATAATAATAATAATATATAATAATATATAATGTTAAAATGTATCCAGCAAGTTCTGCCCTATACTAATAATAATAATAATAATAATAATATAATGTAATGTTACAATGTATCCAGCAAGTTCTGCCCAATAATAATAATAATAATAATAATAATATATAATAATATATAATGTTAAAATGTATCCAGCAAGTTCTGCCCTATACTAATAATAATAATAATAATAATAATAATATAATATAATGTTACAATGTATCCAACAAGTTCTGCCCAATAATAATAATAATAATAATATATAATAATATATAATGTTAAAATGTATCCAGCAAGTTCTGCCCTATACTAATAATAATAATAATAATAATAATAATAATAATAATAATAATAATAATAATATAATATAATGTTACAATGTATCCAGCAAGTTCTGCCCTATAATAATAATAATAATAATAATAATAATAATATATAATGTTACAATGTATCCCGCAGGTTCTGCCCTATAATAATAATAATAATAATAATATATAATAATATATAATGTTGCAATGTATCCAGCAAGTTCTGCCCTATAATAATAATAATAATAATAATAATAATAATAATAATAATAATAATATATAATGTTGCAATGTATCCAGCAAGTTCTGCCCTATACTAATAATAATAATAATAATAATAATAATATAATATAATGTTACAATGTATCCAACAAGTTCTGCCCAATAATAATAATAATAATAATAATAATAATAATAATATGTAATGTAACAATGTATCCAGCAAATTCTGCCCTATAATAATAATAATATATAATGTTACAATGTATCCCGCAGGTTCTGCCCTATAATAATAATAATAATAATAATAATATATAATATTATATAATGTTACAATGTATCCAGCAAGTTCTGCCCAATACTACTAATAATAATAATAATAATAATATATAATGTTACAATGTATCCAGCAAGTTCTGCCCAATAATAATAATAATAATAATAATAATAATATATAATGTTGCAATGTATCCAGCAAGTTCTGCCCTATAATAATAATAATAATGTTACAATGTATCCAACAAGTTCTGCCCAATAATAATAATAATAATAATAATAATAATAATAATAATAATGTTACAATGTATCCAGCAAGTTCTGCCCAATAATAATAATAATAATAATAATAATAATAATAATAATGTTACAATGTATCCAACAAGTTCTGCCCAATAATAATAATAATAATAATAATAATAATAATAATATATAATGTTACAATGTATCCAGCAAGTTCTGCCCTATAATAATAATAATAAAAATAATATATAATGTTACAATGTATCCAGAAACTTCTGCCCTATAATAATAATGTTACAATGTATCCAGCAAGTTTTGCCCTATAATAATAATAATAATAATAATATGTAATGTAACAATGTATCCAGCAAATTCTGCCCTATAATAATAATAATATATAATGTTACAATGTATCCCGCAGGTTCTGCCCTATAATAATAATGTTACAATGTATCCACAAAGTTCTGCCCTATAATAATAATAATATTAATAATAATAATAATATATATAATGTTACAATGAATCCAGCAAGTTCTGCCATGTTATAATTGTAGCAGAGCCCATCTGGCTGTCCATCACATTCCCTTGAAACAGCCCGCCGTTCGGCTAAGTGAATCGAACAAGGGGATTCATACAAATGCCAGCACTCTCATGGATGCCAAGGATTTTCGGGACCTTTAACTGGTGAACGAGGACCGACCGCAAGGCCAAATTGTATGGAACTGATTTCGGCTACTGCTTCATGTGCGGTCGGTCAAAAGAACACTTCCACCTAACTCCCGAACTATGGGTCCGATCTGGGTGATTTTTGAATATGTTGTTCACCCAGATCAGGGGTGAATCTGTTATATTTGGGGTACATCCAAAAATAGGGGAAAACTATGTACTGTGTAGTTGAATTATCTGTTAAGCTAAGGGGAGGAGATGTGTGGGTTGTACCTTATACTTGATTGGTTACTGTAATAATTACTGTGGGTGTCTCCCTTGCAGGGGAGAGATGCATAAAAGCAGGGTATGTGGAATAAAAGATGAGTTCTGCTCCTGATACTGTCGTCCAATCATTGGGAAAAGGTAATGTGATATTATTGGATTATTTTACTGACTGTGGATCTTATTCTCTTGGATTTATTACTTGTTCCTGAGCCATACTTGGATTAGCAGCAGAAATAGTCTGTGGGAAATCAGCACTACGCTACAATAATAATATAATATATTGTTACAATGTATCCAGCAAGTCCTGTCACTAAATAATAATAATAATAATAATAATAATATATATAATGTTTCAATGTATCCAGCAAGTTCTGTCATTAAATAATAAATAAAATATTGTTACAATGTATCCAGCAAGTTCTGTCATTAAATAATAAATAATAATAATTGTAGCGGAGAGCTGATATCCCACAGACTAAATCCACTATAGATCCCAGTATGGCTCAGGAACAAGTAAATAATTTCAGGTAAAACATCCACAGTGACAGAGTAATCCAGCAGCATAGCAAACACAATCAGTAATATAATCCAGCAATATCCCATCACCTTTCCCAATAACTGGACGACACACAGTATCAGGAGCAGAACTGATCTTTAATCACACAACCCCTGCTTTTATGCAATCCTCCCATGCAATGGAGACACCCACAATAATCAGTACAGTAACCAATTCGGTATAAGATACAACCCACACATCTCCTCCCCTCAGATTATTAGTTAACATAATTAAAAGGTCCACAGTTTTCCCCATATTCTGGATGTACCCCAAATACCTAGGGTACACCCCTAAAAATCCCCTGATAGCCCTGATCTGGGTGAATAACATGCTCAAAAATCACCCAGATTGGATCAGGGGTTCGGGAGTTATGGAGGGATAAAGTTTTGACCAACCGCACAGGCAACAGTAGCCGAAAACAGTTCTATAAGTTTTGGCCTTGCAGTCGGTCTCAGTTCGTGCTGTAAAAGTCCTGAACTAAATACCATCCAGAGCTGGGCAGGCATTCGGATGAATTCCCGTGTTCGTGGGATTCATCCTACTGAACAGTGGGCTGTTCAGGAGTTTCTATCAGTCTTTTCTGTAGCTCTGGAGGACTCAGCTGTGTTTGTTTAGTCGAGTGTCCGATTTGGGTTCCAGACACTCGACAATCAAACACCACGTTATAAAGGATCCTTTAACCCCTTAAGGACTGAGCCAAATGTACACGTTGTGAACGAAACAAAATGTAAACAAAACCTGGCATTTGCGCTACATGTCTGTCCAACCGTAATTCACCTCTTTCATAGTAAATGCACCCACCCTTATTATATATCATTTTATTCAGGGGAAACAGGGCTTTCATTTAATATCAAATATTTAGCTATGAAACATAATTTAATATGAAAAAATGGGAGAAAATAAGATTTGTTTAATTTTTTTAGTTCTACATGACATTTTAACTGTCAATGTCATAATACTGTTTGCTTTTACTGCAATAAAATACACATATTTGTATTCAGCAAAGTCTCACGTGTAAAACAGTACCCCTATGTACAGGTTTTATGGCGTTTTGGGAAGTTACAGGGTCAAATATAGCACATTACATTTGAAATTGAAATTCGCCAGATTGGTTATGTTGCCTTTGGGACTTTATAGTAGCCAGGAATGAAATTTACACCCATAATGGCATACCATTTGCAATAGTAGACAACCCAAGGTATTGCAAATGGGGTATGTCCAGTCTTTTTAGTAGCCATTTGGTCACAAACACTGGCCAAAGTTAGCATTAGTATTTGTTTGTGTGTGAAAAATGCAAAAAACGCCAATTTTGGCCAGTGTTTGTGACTAAGTGGCTACTAAAAAAGACTGGACATACCCCGTTTGCAATACCTTGGGTTGTCTACTATTGCAAATGGTATGCCATCATAGGGGTAATTTTCATTCTCGGGCTACCATAGGGTCTCAAAGGCACCGTAACCAATCTGGCGAATTTTAACGTGAAAAAAATGAAACGCAAGCCTTATATATGATGCTGTAACTGAAAACACCAAAAAAACCTGTACATGAGGGGTACTGTTATACTCGGGAGACTTCGCTGAACACAAATATTTGTGTTTCATAAGAGTAAAAAGTATCACAGCAATAATATCGTCCGTGTAAGTGCTGTTTGTGTGTGAAAAATGCAAAAAACTTCACTTTGACTGGCGATATCATCATTGTAATACATTTTACTGTTTTGAAACACTAATATTTGTGTTCGGCGAAGTCTTCCGAGTAGAACAGTAACCCCCCATGTACAGGTTTTATGGTGTCTTGGAAAGTTATAGGGTTAAATATAGTGCTAGCAAATTAAATTCCCTTTACTTTCGGCATGGGTTGTCAGGCAGGTCCCACTAATTGTAATTAATTAAGATACCTAATTATGTAAAAATATTACATAAATATATATGTAGAATTAATATATGTATATATATACACGTATGTGAATCTATATGTGAATATCTATATAATTTTTTAAAATATTTTTATTTATATATAGGTATATATATAGTGATATATACGTATATATTTATGTATGTAGATATATATATTATTTCGTTCTATGTGTATTTTGATATAAATGTATATATATTAATATCACAATACAGTTAGAACGAAATAACACACATCTATATATTTTTTAATTAATTTTATTTATTAATTTTTAATTTAATTTTTTAACATATTTACATATTTAATTTTTTTATATTATATATAACAATAATTATATATATTTAATCAGTATCAGTCTACGTGTAATTTGATATTTATATATATATATATATATATATAATTATATATATATATATATATATATATATTAATAGTAAAATACACCTAGACAGTGTATGTGTATATATATATACTTAGATCTAAGTATATATATTTATTTTTACACTAATAAATTTAATTTTATTTTCAGCCAGCAGGGGGACCACCTGTCATTACAGGCAGCCCCCCTGCTGGCAATGCAGGAGGCAGCTACCCCCGGCCATGTGATTGTGGGGTCCTCGCAAGGACCCCACTCTCACATGGCCGGGGGTCACCGGAGGAGAAGGATCTACTGCGGGGGGGCTCCCTGGGACTCCCCCCCACCGCGATCGCCGGCGTGGGACCACCGGCAACCGGGTAAGTAAACAAAAACCGGAGGACATACAATTACGCCCGGCGGTGTTTAGAGCCGCCTAAAATAGGGCGTAATTGTACGTCCTCCGGTCTAAAGGGGTTAATAACCCGCAATGCAGACACGCAGTGAGGCCGGGGATCCTGCAATCCGTTATAAAGGATCCTTTAATAACCAGCGATGCGGACGCGGGGCGAGGCCGGGGATCCTGCAATCCGTTATAAAGGATCCTTTAATAACCCGCGATGCGGACGCGGGGCGAGGCCGGGGATCCTGCAATCCGTTATAAAGGATCCTTTAATAACCCGCGATGCGGACGCGGGGCGAGGGATCCTGCAATCCGTTATAAAGGATCCTTTAATAACCCGCGATGCGGACGCGGGGCGAGGCCGGGGATCCTGCAATCCGTTATAAAGGATCCTTTAATAACCCGCGATGCGGACGCGGGGCGAGGCCGGGGATCCTGCAATCCGTTATAAAGGATCCGTTATAAAGGATCCTTTAATAACCCGCGATGCGGACGCGGGGCGAGGCCGGGGATCCCGCAATCCGTTATAAAGGATCCTTTAATAACCCGCGATGCGGACACTGGGCGAGGCCGGGGATCCCGCAATCAGTTATAAAGGATCCTTTACTAACCCGCGATGCGGACGCGGGGCGAGGCCGGGGATCCTGCAATCCGTTATAAAGGATCCTTTAATAACCCGCGATGCGGACACGGGGCGAGGCCGGGGATCCTGCAATCCGTTATAAAGGATCCGTTATAAAGGATCCTTTAATAACCCGCGATGCGGACGCGGGGCGAGGCCGGGGATCCTGCAATCCGTTATAAAGGATCCTTTAATAACCCGCGATGCGGACACGGGGCGAGGCCGTGGATTCTGCAATCCGTTATAAAGGATCCGTTATAAAGGATCCTTTAATAACCCGCGATGCGGACGCGGGGCGAGGCCGGGGATCCCGCAATCCGTTATAAAGGATCCTTTAATAACCCGCGATGCGGACACTGGGCGAGGCCGGGGATCCCGCAATCAGTTATAAAGGATCCTTTACTAACCCGCGCGGACGCTGGGCGCAGGGCCGTATTCCACCGCTTATAAAGGACGGCGCAGCAACCGCTGGCGCGATCCGGCATTGACCCCGCTGGCGCGGACGCTAGGGCGCAGGCCGTGGGATCCTGCAATCCGCTATAAAGACCGCGCACACCCGCTGGCGCGACGCTGGGCGCAGGCTGGGATCCCCGCTAAATCCGCTACAGATCCTTTAATAACCCGCGATGCGGACGCGGCCGGGGATCCTGCAATCCGTTATAAAGGATCCTTTAATAACCCGCGATGCGAACACGGGGCGAGGCCGGGGATCCCGCAATCCGTTATAAAGGATCCTTTAATAACCCGCGATGTGGACGCGGGGCGAGGCCGGGGATCCCGCAATCCGTGATAAAGGATCCTTTAATAACCGGCGATGCGGACGCGGCGCGAGGCCGGGGATCCCGCAATCCGTTATAAAGGATCCGTTAATAACCCGCGATGCGGACGCGGGGCGAGGCCGGGGATCCCGCAATCCGCTATAAAGGATCCTTTAATAACCCGCGATGCGGACGCGGGGCGAAAATGGATCCCGCGCTAAATCCGCTATAGCGATCCTTAATACCCCGCTGGCGCGGACATCGGGCGCAGGCCGGGATCCCGCAATCCGCTATATAAAGCGATCTTTAATAACTCGCTGGCGGGACGCGAGGCGAGGCCGGGGATCCCGCAATCCGTTATAAAGGATCCTTTAATAACCCGCGATGCGGACGCGGGACGAGGCCGGGGATCCCGCAATCCGTTATAAAGGATCCTTTAATAACCCGCGCTGCGGACGCTGGGCGAGGCCGGGGATCCCGCAATCCGTTATAAAGGATCCTTTAATAACCCGCGATGCGGACGCGGGGCGAGGCCGGGATCCCGCAATCCGTTATAAAGGATCCTTTAATAACCCGCGATGCGGACGCGGGGCGAGGCCGGGGATCCCGCAATCCGTTATAAAGGATCCTTTAATAACCCGCGATGCGGACGCGGGGCGAGGCCGGGGATCCCGCAATCCGCTATAAAGGATCCTTTAATAACCCGCGATGCGGACGCGGGGCGAGGCCGGGGATCCCGCAATCCGTTATAAAGGATCCTTTAATAACCGGCGATGCGGACGCGGGGCGAGGCCGGGGATCCCGCAATCCGTTATAAAGGATCCGTTAATAACCGGCGATGCGGACGCGGGGCGAGGCCGGGGATCCCGCAATCCGTTATAAAGGATCCTTTAATAACCCGCGATGCGGACGCGGGGCGAGGCCGGGGATCCCGCAATCCGTTATAAAGGATCCGTTAATAACCCGCGATGCGGACGCGGGGCGAGGCCGGGGATCCTGCAATCCGTTATAAAGGATCCGTTAATAACCCGCGATGCGGACGCGGGGCGAGGCCGGGGATCCGTGACTTGCAGTCTGGGCAGCATTGCGGTCGCACGTAGTGACGTCATCTGAGACGTACTGACGTCAATCGGAAATCAATCCAGTTCCGGTGTGGAGAGGAAGTTAATCCAGTTCCGGTGTGGAGCGGAAGTTAATCCATTTCCGGTGTGGAGCGGAAGTTAGTCCAGATCCGGTGTGGAGCGGAAGTTAATCCATATCCGGTGTGGAGCGGAAGTTAATCCATTTCCGGTGTGGAGCGGAAGTTAGTCCAGATCCGGTTTGGAGCGGAAGTTTCTGTGTTGTTTGGGAGATGATGAGCAGCTCGGAGCCAGTCCCGGACCCCCAGCCGCAGGCACCCCCTGCCCAGCCCGGGACCGCCCCCGAGAACAAACCCAGCCCGGCCAACATCCCCAAACCGGGGCCGGCGGGGGCCAGCGGAGCCGGGATACCGGGGAGAGACCCGGGGGAGCGCAGGGCCAGCGGTGAGACATACTGAGAGAGTCAGGGAGAGAGGGGCCAGCGGTGAGACATACTGAGAGAGTCAGGGAGAGAGGGGCCAGCGGTGAGACATACTGAGAGACCCTGGGAGTCAGGGAGAGAGGGGCCAGCGGTGAGACATACTGAGAGACCCTGGGAGTCAGGGAGAGAGGGGCCAGCGGTGAGACATACTGAGAGACCCTGGGAGTCAGGGAGAGAGGGGCCAGCGGTGAGACATACTGAGAGACCCTGGGAGTCAGGGAGAGAGGGGCCAGCGGTGAGACATACTGAGAGACCCTGGGAGTCAGGGAGAGAGGGGCCAGCGGTGAGACATACTGAGAGACCCTGGGAGTCAGGGAGAGAGGGGCCAGCGGTGAGATATACTGAGAGACCCTGGGAGTCAGGGAGAGAGGGGCCAGCGGTGAGACATACTGAGAGACCCTGGGAGTCAGGGAGAGAGGGGCCAGCAGTGAGATATACTGAGAGACCCTGGGAGTCAGGGAGAGAGGGGCCAGCGGTGAGACATACTGAGAGACCCTGGGAGTCAGGGAGAGAGGGGCCAGCGGTGAGACATACTGAGAGACCCTGGGAGTCAGGGAGAGAGGGGCCAGCGGTGAGACATACTGAGAGACCCTGGGAGTCAGGGAGAGAGGGGCCAGCGGTGAGATATACTGAGAGACCCTGGGAGTCAGGGAGAGAGGGGCCAGCGGTGAGACATACTGAGAGACCCTGGGAGTCAGGGAGAGAGGGGCCAGCGGTGAGACATACTGAGAGACCCTGGGAGTCAGGGAGAGGGAGAGAGGGGCCAGCGGTGAGATATACTGAGAGACCCTGGGAGTCAGGGAGAGAGGGGCCAGCGGTGAGACATACTGAGAGACCCTGGGAGTCAGGGAGAGAGGGGCCAGCGGTGAGACATACTGAGAGACCCTGGGAGTCAGGGAGAGAGGGGCCAGCGGTGAGACATACTGAGAGACCCTGGGAGTCAGGGAGAGAGGGGCCAGCGGTGAGACATACTGAGAGACCCTGGGAGTCAGGGAGAGAGGGGCCAGCGGTGAGACATACTGAGAGACCCTGGGAGTCAGGGAGAGAGGGGCCAGCGGTGAGACATACTGAGAGACCCTGGGAGTCAGGGAGAGAGGGGCCAGCGGTGAGACATACTGAGAGACCCTGGGAGTCAGGGAGAGAGGGGCCAGCGGTGAGAGACCCTGGGAGTCAGGGAGAGAGGGGCCAGCGGTGAGAGATCCTGGGAGTCAGGGAGAGAGGGGCCAGCGGTGAGAGATCCTGGGAGTCAGGGAGAGAGGGGCCAGCGGTGAGACATACTGAGAGAGCCTGGGAGTCGGGGAGAGAGGGGCCAGCGGTGAGATATACTGAGAGACCCTGGGAGTCAGGGAGAGAGGAGACTGTGAGGACAGGATCAGCTGCGGGAGAGCCTGGGTGTAGCGGAGAGCTGGTATTTCACAGGTTAAAAATACCATAGAGTAATAATCCCAGCAAGCGAGGTAATCCACAAATATTCCCATACAGATCCCAATGACTGGACGACACACCGCATCTGGAGCAGAACTGACTTTTAATCCACACAACCTCCTTATAAAGCATTCTCCCATGCAGGGGATGGATTCACCATAATTAGTACAGTAACCATTAATGTCACAGTTACCTCCCACACCTCCTCCCCTCAGTGTGACACATAATCCCATTAAACATGCTGTAGTTTTCCCCGAGTTCTGGATGTACCCCAAAACAGTTAGGTACAATTGGCTATGTGGCGTATTGTAGGTGGAAGGGGCAATTTGACGGTCTCCGTTCGGGAGGTAAAATACACATAATTACATGACATCCACTACTAACATTGTATTTGCATTGAATCCTCTTGTTCGGTACTTTTAACTCACCGAACGGGGGGCTGATTAGCCTTTCCGTTCGGGAGTTACGGAGCTCTGGAGGTCTCAGCGGTGTTCGGGTAATTGAGTGTCCGATTTGAGTTCCAGACACTCAACAACCAAACACCGCTGAGATTTTCGTTCATAAGATGGCCGCCGCCACGTGTTCGTATGCCGAATGGCGGCCACCCAGGTACATGCACAAAGTACCAATTAACCTGCGGTTAGAGAAGTGTGAAAGCCTAATAAGGTGCACACTTATCTCTGGGGTGGTCTACTGGTTCGGTAGTTTTCATTCGTATGGGATACGGATGAAAACTACTGAACAATCATAGGAATACTACATACACTTTTAACTATACAGGAGAATAAACATACAAATTGCAGTTTTAACACAGTCTTTTAAGACAGCTGTAATAACATCCGCTACACTGGGGTTAGATGGTGTGAGTGCGGGGGTGGTCAATGGATGGTTTGGTTAGATAGGCAGCATCGCTACAGAGAGTGGGTGTAGATTGGGGACATGGCGATGGTAATAGTATTGTATCTATGATACTTTTATAATGTCACAATGTCTGATTTTTGCCTTCTCAGTTCCTGCCTCTGCTGCAGCGGCGGCTCCATCAGAAGGCTCCCTATCCAATGGAGTGTACCTGCCCCCAGGTGTGACTAATGGGGACATCAAACCTGTCATTTCAAATACGCCTTTAGTGGATTTCTTGATGCAGTTGGAAGACTACACACCAACTGTAAGTGTAAAATAATCTAACATGGCACTGCTACTGATTTAATACCTTAATGGTGGGTACCATACACTGTACTTTTACGTCACTAATATAATTCATCAATCTTGAGACATCTGAGAATACTGCACTACATCAAAATAAGGCTTGATTGGCCCCTAGACAGTCAGCTTGTTTCTCACACTGTATTTCGATTGGCATTAGTTTAAATGTGCAGGGATCTGAGCGGAACTTTCCTCATCGTGGGCTCAGATCCCCGCTATGCAACTAGAGGTAATTCAGCTCGGTCACCCCAATATTGCAAATATTACAGAATTTAATGTAAAAATATAACTTTGGCTGTCCAGAGAGATAAGATGACTAACAGTGAATGCTTATCTCTCCTGTATAGCAATGGATGGTGGGAAGCTGCTGCTTTGTAACCTAAGTTCCCCACGTAGTCCACTATTGTAAAACCCTTGCAAAGTCATTTTGAAAACCCCTTGCATGGGGAACCACATAAATAGTGTGAACTGTGAATAAAAGCTCAGTTGACTCCCAGCCTATGTGTCGTCTAGTTCTTGATAAGAAGGGATTATTGTCACGCTACCTGGATTATTGTATACTGTACCTGTCTACCAGTGGAGATTCTGTGGATTATACTACCTCTCCGCTACATTTATTTTTTTTGTAACTGTTCTATTGACAATCTGTTGCTCCTTTGCAAAGGGGATGAAAATTCACTTCGGAATATGTTTACACTGATGAATGTGATCTAATCTTGAGGTTCATGTTGAGTTTTACATATTCAGGTATCAATACATCAACAAATACCTTTGCTGGTAATACATTTCTTAATGCTGCCTCTAGTCACCCAAAATATCTTATCTAGTCTGTACCTGTTGGTCCTTTTTGATCTTAGCTTGTGACTTGAGATTTTTAGAGCGGGAATACTGTGAAAATGTTGAGCTTCTCTCCTATAGGCCAAGTTTAATTTCCAGTAGTTATAAGAACAAGGAAATTGAGAATTTTGGCAAAAGATAATTCTTTACCTTCATTTAGTTCAGTTTGAACAGGTTAAGTGAATTGTCTGGAAACATTTAAGAGGATTGACTAACGACTCCTTGAGACTTTGGTAGAGGGTAATAATGCGTTTCTAGATACTCTAATACTTTTGGAAATATTCTCTCACCTAGTCCTTTCTTCTCTAGCCATTAGCATAGACCTGAAGGGCTATTCAAATGTGGTATGTTTAAGTGTGGGGTTAAATCCTGTTTAAGTTGTGGTCTTGTTAAAGTGCCCAATGTTTCTTCATCTGGCGTCACTGGTAAAGTGTGTAATATAAGGTGCTTGATTAATTGACATTCCACACGTGATTTATTTACATACCTGCACTAAGTGCGATATGTCCAACAGACTTCAAGGTCTCTGGGGAAATAAAGGAGCAGGGTTCATGTTCTTGATTAAAGGACCACTTTAGGGACCCAGACCACTTCAGCTTAATGAGGTGGTCTGGGTGCCTGGTCCAGGGTTTAACCCTTTTTTCTATAAACATAGCAAAGAAACTGCTATGTTTATATTAGGGTTAATCCAGCCTCTAGTGGCTGTCTCACAGTGAGAAGACACCAGCGTCCATAGGAAAGCATTGTGAAGGCTTTCCTATGAGACTGGCTGAATGTGCGCGTGGCTCTTGCCGCGCATGCACATTCAGGCGAGGAGGAGGAGAGCTCCCCGCCCGGCGCTGGAGGGGGACCCCTTCCTTCCCCCAGAGCCCAGCGGGAGGGGGACCCTGAGCCAGGAAAACAAGTGTATTTTGCTTGCAGTATAGTGGTCCATTTAAGTCACAGTTAAAAAATAACACTTATGTCTAAACCTTTTCATATGTGTAACAGTTCTGATCTGAGATAATCTACAGTTTTCTGAAATTTAGAAGTTGTATGTGTCTGTTTGGGGTGGAAATATTAGGCATTGTTTATTTAAACTACCAGGAAGTCAATGGATTTTTTTAAATTTGAAAACTAGAAAACCTGTGTGATCCGTCCTGCGTTTGATGTTCTTTGTTTTGCAGGCGAATTGTGTGATTCATCACTGTCAGTTTTATTTACAAAAGATGTATTTATTTTGGATTGCAGCTTTTATTGAAGACCATCAAGTAACAGCGTTACATTGTTGCCTTTTTTTGTATTAGAGAGATTGCTGAAATTTCGTGTTTTGTTATCTCCCAACAAATAGGCATATTGAGTATGGACCATTAACGGGAAAATTAGTTACTTTTAAATTCAGCAGAAATGGGGATGAAATAACTGAAAAGACTCAGACACTCTAAATGGCCCAAGATGTCTTGTTATGCAAATGATAAGGGTAAAGTACAGTTGGGTTTTAGATTTTGTTCTGGAAGGAACTTGGGCCAAATAAAAATGTAAAACTGAGATTGGCATGCCTAGAACAATCTAATAACTGCCACACAGGTCTTGGTGTAGAGTATTGCAGTACTCCGTGGTAATGAAGTAAATATTCATTGCTGGTGTTTCCCACATTGTATTTATATTAAAAGAAACAAAACGCAGACCTGATTATGGTTTTTCCCTGTTTGTATTTTCCCAGATTCCAGATGCAGTAACCGGGTATTACTTGAATAGGGCAGGCTTCGAAGCCTCTGACCCACGCATGTAAGTCTTGTTTGTTCTTGGTGATGTATAATCTGAGCATTGTGCTGACACCTGCTAATAACTAAGGTAATAACGGAAACTTCCTGAAATCAGAGCCTTTAGATTTCAGAATGAAAGTAGTCCTACTGGTAATTAATGAGCAGGTTTAATCAATAAATCAGAGAAGGGAGTTATAAATATTATAGCAACTCTGATTTCAAATATTGCCACCTTTAGCTGTGCACAGGCTCCTGACAGAATGCATCAGTCTTTCTGTCTCTAACGCTTTGTACAAAGTTCTACCGTTTTAGGTGTAATTATATAAATAATAGATTTTATTTTTTTATTTTCTTAGCATCAGACTCATCTCCTTGGCGGCACAGAAGTTTATCTCTGATATTGCGAATGATGCCTTACAACACTGCAAAATGAAAGGAACTGCTTCAGGGAGCTCACGCAACAAAAGCAAGGTGAGCCGTCATGATAATAAATTGGGGGAAAGCAGCTAAGATTTCTGTATAGGTCAACCCACTTCACACACCTTTAGAACTCCAATTTGCTCGGAGGTCCTAGTTGTCTAATTTTCAAAAGAAATCAGCACATTAATAAAATGGTTTGCAAACCCCTGTTGACTGTCTGGCTGACAGAATGCCTTGCTTCCACACTCAGCTTGAACAAGTGTTCAAGCGGCAATGAGTTTGCAGGGTAAAAACTGTAATTGCAAAACAAGCACCCTGCAATTACTAAAGCTACCAGACACCCAAACACATGGGACTGAGCTCCTGTTTGTCAGACTGAAATGTTTGGTGTGCTGATCCTCGAGATCCTGGGTATCTAGTGCAATGAGAAGCCCTGGGCAAAACGTGGAGGGCTAAGTTTTCATTAATCTACAAAAAAAAGTTTGAATCTTACATTTTTTTCCAGTGCCATGCGGGTCTCCCGGAGCTAGCTCCGCCCATAGGAAAAACATTGGATTGGCTGAGATTGCCAAGTGGCCTGGCCAATCAGCATCTCTATGAAGAAAGTTCAGTGTCTCAATGCAGAGGGTGGATACATTGGATGTCAGTCACATTGTGCAGCACTGCCCCATGAAACACCTCTAGCAGCCACCTGGGGAGTGGCCACTGGAGGTGTCCCTAGGCTGTAATGTAAACACTACCTTTTATTTGGAAAAAACTATGTTTGCATGAATATGCCTGCCGAGACTCTCTATCCTCACCAGAACAAATACAATCATCTGTAGTTATTCTGGTGACTATAGTGTCCCTTTAAAGGAAAGCACATGGTTATGGTATAAATAGGGATTCAATAAAATAAATTTCTTCCACTACTTTAGCTGATGTTGCTGCTATATAGAGCCGCTTTGAATGATACAGTTGCCTCACTTTGCTGAACAAAAAGCAAGTAAATATGATTTCTTTTTCACATTACATGTTTCTTCTTTCTTACACTTTCCACACCCACTCGGGGGAGAGGCACTGATCTAACCAATCAGTGTCCAATCCCTAGGAATGCTGTAAAAGTGCATTGGTCATGCCATGTGAAGTTGGAAGATCTCTTCACTTTTCAACATCCTGACAGAGTCTGATTAGTGTGATCATGCAGAGCTCCGGTGTTGGGTTTCTCTCTATTGATGTATTGTGGTGCCCTGTTTCTGTCATTTGTGGACTGGTCTCAAACTGAGCTGGGTTTGGGGTAGGGGGGCTGAAGAAACTCCCCTAGCTAAGAGGCATGCCCAATAATGCAATGTGACCAAGTTCATGAAATGTTTATTACATACTTAGCAAAGTTTTCCTTGCTGTATTTTTATTCTTTGTTTGTAATTGTTTTACTTTCTGGCTTAAAAATATAATTTGTCAATTGATGCATGTCCCTTTTTAAAATTGTCAAACAATAATAAGAACAAGCATAGGTTTATATACAGGTACAACACATCGAAAGGTGTAAAACAGATTACAAATGTAATGGACTAAGCAATACTGGAAAGGTTTTGTTTTTGTGGAACTGTCCGTGAGGAGTTGGCATCCAGGGTGCAGCAGCTACATTCATCCTGTCTAATAAATAGCAATACTATTAAAGGGTTTGTCCGAGCTCCATGTCTAGGATTTCTCTGCACAAACATACCCCTTAGCTGTTGAAAATGGTACTCTGCTTCTGGCAGCGTCATTAGGTAGCCTAGAGCAAAGTTCAGGGCTGGCTAATGTCAGTTCTGTGTAAAATTGGTGTCTGACAACAGCGCACTCCGCAAATTACAGCGACCTGCTGGTAGAATGTTAGTAGTACAGAGTATCTGCATTATGAGATGATATAATTAGTATCCAAGTGTCAGGAGTCAGATTTCATTCTGGTAAAGATGTAGTGTTATGAGTGAGCCCACTCAATGTTTACTCACAGTAAGAGGACATTTTGGGGGAAGTGATCTTTAACAGACTCCAAAATGAAATCAGGGGGTGACAAATTCTAATTTCTGTTACCGTTCGGATTATCGTTTTGCTGCACTTCTCATACTACTGTTTTAGGAGTTTTATTTTTAATATTTCTTATTTACTTGGTTCATAGGACAAGAAATACACACTGACTATGGAAGATCTTACCCCAGCTCTGGCTGAATATGGCATTAATGTAAAGAAACCTTATTATTTCACCTAGTTCTTGAGGTGTGGGACTGTACATCTCTTTTGCTTTCCTCCAATTAGCCTGATATTGTGCTGGGGCTAACATGCAGTGGAGGCTGTAGAATTACCTTGTACACTGAACATGCATGGACTGGTTTAGAGCTGGAGAGGTGGCTGATGCCTTCACATATTGTGCTGCAGAAAAACGCGTAAGTAACATTTCCTCGAAGATGGGAAGAAGTGTTTAAAAATCAGTTGTCATGAATGAATGTTGTGACATGCACTCAGTTCCATGAATCTTTGGGAGCCTTCCACAGCAGCCAGGAAAAGCTTTGTGTTTTTTGTTTTTTTGTTACATTGTAAATAGCATTGTTCCTGTGTTATTAGATTTTAATTAATGTGTTTTGTTTGCTGTATAATGTTGCAGTATCACAGATTTTCAATAATCCTTTTGTTCCCCAGTGAAATGGAGCATCACATACTATTTGCTGTTCATTGTGTTACATGATTTTGTACTGCTGTCAATAAAAGGAGACTCTACCCTATGCTTAATAGACCAGAACGTTTAACTTCCCCATATTAATATACACTATAAACACCCCAACTACTGCTGCTTATTGTAATGATGCAAGGTGCCCTTTGTCAAGACTGCCATGATATTGCAGGATTTGCCGAACGCCAGTGTTGTGATGTTCACATGGCCTCATGCCTCCTCCCATAGGATATACAACTGGATACAAAAAAGCTTTTCTAAGTAGGAGGCATCAGATGAAAGTGCAAGGGCTGTACTTCAGGACGCTGTCTCTGAATGGTGGCCGCATAATATGGGTTTACTCACCATAAGGTTAATGCATTAGTAGAGTTTGCTGATTATCAAACATTGAGAACTACCAGTTCCCCGTTGACCTACCTATTTTAGTAAGAGCATACAGGGCTTGCCTTTGGCTGGTTATCTCTATATTGGGGTTCTTCACTAAATGAAAAATCAAAGTCAAAATAGCTGAACTGGAAAAATTGTCATATGTTTTCGGTTTGTCTACTCTGGCCTTAAATTTGGAATTCTCACGTGGTGAATAACCCTGTATATCTCACATCAACATTAAAACCAAATTGCAAAATGGCCAAGGTTCTATTATAGTGGGGATTATTTCCAAAAAGGCATCAAATCTGTTATTTAGATTTTTTTTTTTTTTTTTAAGTAAATAAATTCTGCATTTTTCTTTCATAAAACTACATCAGCTAAATAAAACAATCTTTAAAATATTTCGTTTGTTGATTTTGGGAAGTTCTCATTTGTCTGAGATTCCAATCTTTGTGAATTAATTTTAAGCTAAAGTTTACGAAGTGTTTTTAGTTGTGATTGGAATTTTAACAGCCGTCTGTAAATCCTACACTGCTTTCAGTATTTACAGTTGAGCACTTTCCACATTATTACTCTGCTCAGTGTATAAAAAAAAAAAAAAAAATGCTTTAAATGCAACTGTCACTGATAAAGAAGAGTAAGTACCTTATCCCAATAAACACTATAGTGACCGAGATGAATAATGCAGCAGGAGGTAAGTCCTAATGGGGGTGGAGGGTTGAGGAGAACTTGCCTTTGTTGTGTTTTTCTATTATGTGAGTTCTCTGTTCAAAGATTGAGAACTACTGATTGTTCAAACAGTCAGATCGAGATGGCACCCCTACCAGTCCAGGATTTAGGGGGTTACCCAGTTGTGTCAAGGTGTTCTTTTTATTTTTCTTATTTCTTTCTTAAAAAACCTTAAGCACAACTGGGTAATCCCTAAATCCTGAACTGGTCTGGGAACCACTGATTTAGATTTGGCTACAATAGTCAGTACTGTCCCCAATAATGTTACTATTTCATCCTTTTTACTGTTTTTTTTTTTTTTCTTTTTCTTTAAATAGCCAGTTGGCCCCAATCTCTTAATTAACACTGCAGAATGGAATAAAATGGCAACTACTGCTCCAGTGTGAGACTGGAGGAGTAAATGTACATCACACAATACCAGCTGAGATGTTGACCACATTATACAGAACCCCATAGTATTCCTGCTATATACACTGTAATCACCATGTATGTTAAATAATAAATACAATGTTACAGCCCTGTGTACACAATACTTACCAGGGAGCAATATTCCAGTTCTGTTACTATGAAGAGAGAGGTAGGGTCAGACAGACACCTGAATACTGGGCACATGTCCCCTTATGGACAGAATTAAAGCCCTGAATCACACACTGTCACACGCCCTGAGCTTATTACCACAACCATACACTGTCACACTGCCTGGGCTTATTACCACAACTCCAAACTGCCTGGGCTTATTACCATAACTACATGGATCAACCGATTATCGGTTTTGCCGACATTCTGTTTTTTTTTTGGGTAAGTATTGACTGATAATTGGGTGGGTTACTGCATCCATAAGGCGGCACAAGCGGGCCCTCTTAGGGTGTACCGGCCTGGGGGCGCTAGGTTGGAGTGACTAGCAGGAGGTGGGCGCACAGCGCTCCTTCCTGCCAGGTACTCTGTGTAGCGTTTCCTCTACCCGGCCGGACTGAAAGAAAGTGCTCGCTGAGAGATTATTTCTTGTCAGTCGGCCCAGGTACAGGAGACTGAATCTCCTGTACCGTGGGAAACAAGACAGGGGGAAGTTACACTTTGGGGGAGGGAGAGGGGGAAGGAAAGAACACTATGGGAGGTGGGGTGGAGGGAAAGAACGATATGGGACAGGGGAGGGGTTGGGAGGAAAGAAGACCGGTTTAGAGGGGGAGGTAAGGGAAAGAACGCTACGGGACTGGGGGTGGGGACGGGCAGAAGAATGCTATGGGACAGTGGAGGGGTTGGGAGTAAAGAAGACTTACCCCAGCTCTGGCTGAATATGGCATTAATGTAAAGAAACCTTATTATTTCACCTAGTTCTTGAGGTGTGGGATTGTACATCTCTTTTGCTTTCCTCCAATTAGCCTGATATTGCTTTTCTGTATCCAGTTGTATATCCTATGGGAGGAGGCATGAGGCCATGTGAACATCACAACACTGGTTTAGAGGGGGAAATAACATTAAGGGAGAGCATTAAGGTAAAGGGGAAAGAAACACTGGGGTGGGGGCACTAAAAGATAAGATTACAACAACCTCACACTGCCTGAGTTTATTACAGCCGCACACTGTCACACTGCCTGAGGTTATTACAGCCACACACTGCCTGAGGTTATTACAGCCACACACTGCCTGAGGTTATTACAGCCACACACTGCCTGAGGTTATTACAGCCGCACACTGTCACAGTGCCTGAGGTTATTACAGCCGCACACTGTCACACTGCCTGAGGTTATTACAGCCGCACACTGTCACACTGCCTTAGGTTATTACAGCTGCACACTGTCACACTGCCTGAGGTTATTACAGCCGCACACTATCACACTGCCTGAGGTTATTACAGCCGCACACTATCACACTGTCTGAGGTTATTACAGCCGCACACTGTCTGAGGTTATTACAGCCGCACACTGTCACACTGCCTGAGGTTATTATAGCCGCACACTGTCACTGCCTGAAATTATTATAGTCGCACACTATCACTCCCTGAGATTACAGCCGCACACTGTCACTGTATTGGTGTCTCACAAGGTTAATCCCCCTCTCTCACCTGGGGTATTGGTGTCTCAGGAGGTTAATTTTCCTCTTTCCCTGGGGTATTGGTGTCTCAGGAGGTTAATCTTCCTCTTTCCCTGGGGTATTGGTGTCTCAGGAGGTTAATCTTCCTCTTTCCCTGGGGTATTGGTGTCTCAGGAGGTTAATCCTCCTCTCTCCAGTGGGTATTGGTGTCTCAGGAGGTTAATCCCCCACTCTCCCCAGGGTATTGGTGTCTCAGGAGGCTAATCCCCCCTCTCTCCCCGGGGTATTGGTGTCTCAGGAGGTTAATCACCCCTCTCCCCGGGGTATTGGTGTCACAGGAAGCCGAGCAGGCGGTTGCTGTCGGTGAGTGGGTTATGGGGAACACAGGATATTTATTGCCGGTATGACAGGCTTATGGTTAATGTTAGGGTTAGGATTAGGGACTTGTTCTTAGTGATATTTCACATTAGGGGAATATCTATAATTGTGAGTTTTCACACTTTATTGTAACCCTTACCTCAAGGGTTAGGGTTAGAAAAGAGAGTGAGAGAGGTTAAAATACCATACCTAACCATAATTTGAACCCTCACTTAACCCTAAATGTCCTGTGTGCCTAAGATTAGTGAATGCACTAACTATAATGAAAGTGTAAAACTAGCTTTACTTACCTTCCAGGACCTGGCTGTGTTACTTTCCTTGCAGGACCTTGCTGTGCTATAATGAAAGTGTAAAACTAGTTTTACTTACCTTCCAGGGCCTGGCTGTGGAGGAGTTACTTACCTTCCAGGACCTGGCTGCGTTACCTTTCAGGACTTGGCTGTGTTACTTACCTTTCAGGTCCTGGCTGTGTTACCTTCCAGGACCGGGTTGTGTTACTTACCTTCCAGGGCCTCGCTGTGTTACTTACCTTCCAGGACCTGACTGTGTTACTTACCTTCCAGGACCTTGCCGTGTTACTTCCCTTCCAGGACCGGGCTGTGTTACTTCTCTTCCAGGACCTGGCTGTGCTACTTACCTTCCAGGACCCGGCTGTGTTACTTACCTTCCAGGACCTGGCTGTGTTACTGGCTGTGTTACCTTCCAGGACCTGGCTGTTACTTACCTTCCAGGACCCTGCTGTGTTACTTACCTTACCTTCCAGGACCTGGCTGTGTTACTTACCTTCCAGGACCTGGCTGTGTTACTTACCTTCCAGGACCCTGCTGTGTTACTTACCTTCTAGGACCTGGCTGTGTTACTTACCTTCCAGGACCTGGCTGTGTTACTTACCTTCCAGGACCCTGCTGTGTTACTTACATTCCAGGACCTGGCTGTGTTACTTACCTTCCAGGACCAGGCTGTGTTACTTACCTTCCGGGACCTGGCTGTGTTACTTACCTTCCAGGGCCTGGCTGTGTTACTTACCTTCCAGGGCCTGGCTGTGTTACTTACCTTCCAGGACCCGGCTGTGTTACTTACCTTCCAGGACCTGGCTGTGTTACTTACCTTCCAGGGCCTGGCTGTGTTACCTTCCACCTGTCCAGGGCCTGGCTGTGTTACTTACCTTCCAGGGCCTGCTGTGTTACTTACCTTCCAGGACCTGTTGTGTTACTTACCTTCAGGACCTGTCCAGGGACCTGGCTGTGTTACTTACCTTCCAATTTACCTTCCAGGGCCTGGCTGTTACCTTCCAGGACCTGCTGTGTTACTTACCTTCCAGGACCTGGCTGTGTTAATGGCTGTGTTACTTACCTTCCAGGACCTGGCTGTGTTAATGGCTGTGTTACTTACCTTCCAGGACCTGGCTGTGTTACCTTCCAGGACCTGGCTGTGTTACTTACCTTCAGGACCTGGTTGTGTTACTTACCTTCAGGACCTGGCTGTGTTACTTACCTTCCAGGACCTGGCTGTGTTACTTACCTTCCAGGACCTGGCTGTGTTACTTACCTTCCAGGACCTGGTTTTGTTACTTACCTTCCAGGACCTGGCTGTGTTACTTACCTTCCAGGACCTGGCTGTGTTACTTACCTTCCAGGACCTGGCTGTGTTACTTACCTTCCAGGACCTGGTTGTGTTACTTACCTTCCAGGACCCTGCTGTGTTACTTACCTTACCTTCCAGGACCTGGCTGTGTTACTTACCTTCCAGGACCCTGCTGTGTTACTTACCTTCTAGGACCTGGCTGTGTTACTTACCTTCTAGGACCTGGCTGTGTTACTTACCTTCCAGGACCCTGCTGTGTTACTTACATTCCAGGACCCGGCTGTGTTACTTACCTTCCAGGGCCGGGCTGTGATACTTACCTTTCAGGACCTGGCTGTGTTACTTACCTTCCAGGACCTGGCTGTGTTACTTACCTTCTAGGACCTGGCTGTGTTACTTACCTTCCAGGACCCTGCTGTGATACTTACCTTCCAGGACCTGGCTGTGTTACTTACCTTCCAGGACCTGGCTGTGTTAATGGCTGTGTTACTTACCTTCCAGGACCTGGCTGTGTTAATGGCTGTGTTACTTACCTTCCAGGACCTGGCTGTGCTACTTACCTTCCAGGACCTTGCTGTGTTACTAACCTTCCAGGACCTGGCTGTGTTACTTACTTTCCAGGACCTGGCTGTGTTAATGGCTGTGTTACTTACCTTCCAGGACCTGGCTGTGTTACTTACCTTCCAGGACCCGGTTGTGTTACTTACCTTCCAGGACTTGGCTGTGTTACTTACCTTCCAGGACCTGGCTGTGAAGGCGTAGCAGCAGTGCTAACAGCATGTGCAGCCCAGGATCCGGCTGATTGCCCGGAAGTGACGAAGGTAGGGGGATTTTCACGCGGTAGGGTAATCTGATAGAAGAACAGGCACTGGGTGTAGCAAGATGGCGCGAGCTGGAAACTCAGGATGGCGCTTCCGGTGACGCTGGGTGTAGCAAGATGGCCTTAACTGCAGCTTCCGGTCAGATGTGATCTGGTGATAAGAGGGTGAGAACTGTCAGCCTGAGGGCAGAACCGGGCTCCAGGGGCCCCTGGGGGAGGGTGACATTACAGACGGGGCCCCTGGGGGAGGGGGACATTACAGACGGGGCTCCAGGGGCCCCTGGGGGAGGGGGACATTACAGACTGGGCCCCTGGGGGAGGGGGACATTACAGACTGGGCTCCAGGGGACACTGAGTGATGATGACATTACAGACTGGGCTCCAGGGGACACTGAGTGATGATGACATTACAGACTGGGCTCCAGGGGACACTGAGTGATGGGGACATTACAGACTGGGCTCCAGGGGACACTGAGTGATGGTGACATTACAGACTGGGCTCTAGGGGACACTGAGTGATGGTGACATTACAGACTGGGCTCTAGGGGACAATGAGTGATGGTGACATTACAGACTGGGATCCAGGGGACACTGAGTGATGGGGACATTACAGACTGGGCTCCAGGGGACACTGGTGATAGGGGACATTACAGACTGGGCTCCAGGGACACTGGTGACATTACAGACTGGGCTCCAGGGGGCACTGAGTGATGGTGACATTACAGACTGGGCTCCAGGGGCCCCTGGGGGAGGGGGACATTACAGACTGGGTTCCAGGGGGCACTGAGTGATGGTGACATTACAGACTGGGATCCGGGGCCCCTGGGGGAGGGGGACATTACAGACTGGGATCCAGGGGCCCCTGGGGGAGGGGGACATTACAGACTGGGATCCAGGGGACACTGAGTGATGATGACATTACAGACTGGGCTCCAGGGGACACTGAGTGATGGTGACATTACAGACTGGGCTCTAGGGGACACTGAGTGATGGTGACATTACAGACTGGGCTCCAGGGGCCCCTGGGGGAGGGGGACATTACAGACTGGGCTCCAGGGGACACTGAGTGATGGTGACATTACAGACTGGGATCCAGGGGACACTGAGTGATGGTGACATTACAGACTGGGCTCCAGGGGACACTGAATGATGGTGACATTACAGACTGGGCACACTGAGTGATGGTGACATTACAGACTGGGCTCTAGGGGACACTGAGTGGTGACATTACAGACTGGGCTCTAGGGGGCACTGAGTGATGGTGACATTAGACTGGGCTCCAGGGGACACTAAGTGATGGTGACATTACAGACTGGGCTCTAGGGGGCACTGAGTGATGGTGACATTACAGACTGGGCTCTAGGGGGCACTGAGTGGTGACATTAGACTGGGCTCCAGGGGACACTGAGTGATGGGGACATTACAGACTGGGATCCAGGGGACACTGAGTGATGGTGACATTACAGACTGGGTTCCAGGGGACACTGAGTGATGGTGACATTACAGACTGGGCTCCAGGGGGCACTGAGTGATGGTGACATTACAGACTGGGCTCCAGGGGACACTGAGTGATGGTGACATTACAGACTGGGCTCCAGGGGACACTGAGTGATGGTGACATTACAGACTGGGCTCCAGGGGACACTGAGTGATGGTGACATTACAGACTGGGCTCCAGGGG